AGATACCAGGCGCACAGAAATCAGCAGAACGTCGCTGCTTTTTTTAAATTCTCTTTTTTTCTTGTTTCTCTTTGTATTTCGTTGATCTCTTTTTTCGCTCTCATTTTTCCCATTTTCTGCCTCCACTTTCCACCGCTCAAATGGCAGAAAACCGTTAAATTCAAATCTAGATACCAGGCGCACAGAAATCAGCAGAAGGTCGCTGCTTTTTTTAAATTCTCTTTTTTTCTTGTTTCTCTTTGTATTTCGTTGATCTCTTTTTTCGCTCTCATTTTCCCATTTTCTGCCTCCGCTTTCCACCGCTCAAATGGCAGAAAACCGTTAAATTCAAATCTGAGATACCAGGCGCACAGAAATCAGCAGAAGGTCGCTGCTTTTTTAAATTCTCTATTTTTTCTTGTTTCTCTTTGCATTTCGTTGATTCCTTTTTTCGCTCTCATTTTCCCATTTTCTGCCTCCGCTTTCCACCGCTCAAATGGCAGAAAACCGTTAAATTCAAATCTGAGATACCAGGCGCACAGAAATCAGCAGAAGGTCGCTGCTTTTTTAAATTCTCTTTTTTTCTTGTTTCTCTGTATTTCGTTGATCTCTTTTTCGCTCTCATCCCATTTTCTGCCTCCACTTTCCACCGCTCAAATGGCAGAAAACCGTTAAATTCAAAAATACAGGCGCACAGAATCCAGCCCTAAACTCTTTTTTCTTGTTTCTCTTTGTACTTCGTTGTCTCTTTTTCGCTCTAATTTTTCCCCATTTTCTGCCTCCGCTTTCCACCGCTAAATGGCAGAAAACCGTTAAATTCAAATCTGAGATACAGGCGCACAGAAATCAGCAGAAGGTCGCTGCTTTCTTTAAATTCTCTTTTTTTCTTGTTTCTCTTTGTATTTCGTTGATATCTTTCGCTCTCATTCCCATTTTCTGCCTCCGCTTCCACCGCTCAAATGGCGAAAACCGTAACAATCTGAATACCACCACGAAACACAGAGGTCGCTGCTAAATCTCTTTTTTTTCTTGTTTCTCTTTTTATTTCTTTTTCCCATTTTCTCAAATGGCAGCGGTGGCGGTGGAAAGTCGTGGCAGAAAATGGGAAAAATGAGAGCGAAAAAAGAGATCAACGAAATACAAAGAGAAACAAGAAAAAAAGAGAATTTAAAAAAAGCAGCGACCTTCTGCTGATTTCTGTGCGCCTGGCATCTCAGATTTGAATTTAACGGTTTTCTGCCATTTGAGCGGTGGAAAGCGGAGGCAGAAAATGGGAAAAATGAGAGCGAAAAAAGAGATCAACGAAATACAAAGAGAAACAAGAAAAAAAACAGAATTTAAAAATAGCAGCGACCTTCTGCTGATTTCTGTGCGCCTGCATCTGAGATTTGAATTTAACGGTTTTCTGCCATTTGAGCGGTGGAAAGCGGAGGCAGAAAATGGGAAAAATGAGAGCGAAAAAAGAGATCAACGAAATACAAAGAGAAACAAGAAAAAAAAGAGAATTTAAAAAAAGCAGCGACCTTCTGCTGATTTCTGTGCGCCTGGTATCTCAGATTTTAATTTTTTCTGCCATTTGAGCGGTGGAAAGTGGAGGCAGAAAATGGGAAAAATTAGAGCGAAAAAAGAGATCAACGAAATACAAAGAGAAACAAGAAAAAAAAGAGAATTTAAAAAAGCAGCGACCTTCTGCTGATTTCTGTGCGCCTGGTATCTCAGATTTGAATTTAACGGTTTTCTGCCATTTGAGCGGTGGAAAGCGGAGGCAGAAAATGGGGAAAAATGAGAGCGAAAAAAGAGATCAACGAAATACAAAGAGAAACAAGAAAAAAAACACAATTTAAAAAAAGCAGCGACGTTCTGCTGATTTCTGTGCGCCTGGTATCTCAGATTTGAATTTAACGGTTTTCTGCCATTTGAGCGGTGGAAAGCGGAGGCAGAAAATGGGAAAAATGAGAGCGAAAAAAGAGATCAACGAAATACAAAGAGAAACAAGAAAAAAAAGAGAATTTAAAAAAAGCAGCGACCTTCTGCTGATTTCTGTGCGCCTGGTATCTCAGATTTGAATTTAATGGTTTTCTGCCATTTGAGCGGTGGAAAGCGGAGGCAGAAAATGGGAAAAATGAGAGCGAAAAAAGAGATCAACGAAATACAAAGAGAAACAAGAAAAAAAAGAGAATTTAAAAAAAGCAGCGACCTTCTGCTGATTTCTGTGCGCCTGGTATCTCAGATTTGAATTTAACGGTTTTCTGCCATTTGAGCGGTGGAAAGCGGAGGCAGAAAATGGGAAAAATGAGAGCGAAAAAAGAGATCAACGAAATACAAAGAGAAACAAGAAAAAAAAGAGAATTTAAAAAAAGCAGCGACCTTCTGCTGATTTCTGTGCGCCTGGTATCTCAGATTTGAATTTAACGGTTTTCTGCCATTTGAGCGGTGGAAAGCGGAGGCAGAAAATGGGAAAAATGAGAGCGAAAAAAGGAATCAACGAAATGCAAAGAGAAACAAGAAAAAAAAGAGAATTTAAAAAAAGCAGCGACCTTCTGCTGATTTCTGTGCGCCTGGTATCTCAGATTTGAATTCAACGGTTTTCTGCCATTTGAGCGGTGGAAAGTGAGGCAGAAAATGGGAAAAATGAGAGCGAAAAAAGAGATCAACGAAATACCAAGAGAAACAAAAAAAAAGAGAATTTAAAAAAAGCAGCGACCTTCTGCTGATTTCTGTGCGCCTGGTATCTCAGATTTGAATTCAACGGTTTTCTGCCATTTGAGCGGTGGAAAGCGGAGGCAGAAAATGGGAAAAATGAGAGCGAAAGAAGAGATCAACGAAATACAAAGAGAAACAAGAAAAAAAGAGAATTTAAAAAAAGCAGCGACCTTCTGCTGATTTCTGTGCGCCTGGTATCTCAGATTTGAATTTAACGGTTTTCTGCCATTTGAGCGGTGGAAAGTGGAGGCAGAAAATGGGAAAAATGAGAGCGAAAAAAGAGATCAACGAAATACCAAGAGAAACAAGAAAAAAAAGAGAATTTAAAAAAAGCAGCGACCTTCTGCTGATTTCTGTGCGCCTGGTATCTCAGATTTGAATTTAACGGTTTTCTGCCATTCGAGCGGTGGAAAGCGGAGGCAGAAAATGGGAAAAATGAGAGCGAAAGAAGAGATCAACGAAATACAAAGAGAAACAAGAAAAAAAGAGAATTTAAAAAAAGCAGCGACCTTCTGCTGATTTCTGTGCGCCTGGTATCTCAGATTTGAATTTAACGGTTTTCTGCCATTTGAGCGGTGGAAAGTGGAGGCAGAAAATGGGAAAAATGAGAGCGAAAAAAGAGATCAACGAAATACAAAGAGAAACAAGAAAAAAAAGAGAATTTAAAAAAAGCAGCGACCTTCTGCTGATTTCTGTGCGCCTGGTATCTCAGATTTGAATTTAACGGTTTTCTGCCATTTGAGCGGTGGAAAGTGGAGGCAGAAAATGGGAAAAATGAGAGCGAAAAAAGAGATCAACGAAATACAAAGAGAAACAAGAAAAAAAAAGAGAATTTAAAAAAAGCAGCGACCTTCTGCTGATTTCTGTGCGCCTGGTATCTCAGATTTGAATTTAACGGTTTTCTGCCATTTGAGCGGTGGAAAGTGGAGACAGAAAAAGAGAAAAATTAAAGCGAAAAGGAGAGCAACGAAGTACAAAGAGAAACAAGAAAAAAAAGAGAATTTTAAAAAAGCAGCGACCTTCTGCTGATTTCTGTGCGCCTGATATCTCAGATTTGAATTTAACGGTTTTCTGCCATTTGAGCGGTGGAAAGTGGAGGCAGAAAATGAGAAAAATTAGAGCGAAAAAGGAGAGCAACGAAGTACAAAGAGAAACAAGAAAAAAGAGAATTTTAAAAAAGAAGCAACCTTCTGCTGATTTCTGTGCGCCTGATATCTCAGATTTGAATTTAACGGTTTTCTGCCATTTGAGCGGTGGAAAGTGGAGGCAGAAAATGAGACAAATTAGAGCGAAAAAGGAGAGCAACGAAGTACAAAGAGAAACAAGAAAAAAAAGAGAATTTTAAAAAAGCAGCGACCTTCTGCTGATTTCTGTGCACCTGGTATCTCAGATTTGAATTTAACGGTTTTCTGCCATTTGAGCGGTGGAAAGTGGAGGCAGAAAATAAGACAAATTAGAGCGAAAAAGGAGAGCAACGAAGTACAAAGAGAAACAAGAAAAAAAAGAGAATTTTAAAAAAGCAGCGACCTTCTGCTGATTTCTGTGCGCCTGGTATCTCAGATTTGAATTTAACGGTTTTCTGCCATTTGAGCGGTGGAAAGTGGAGGCAGAAAATGAGACAAATGAGAGCGAAAAAAGAGATCAACGAAATACAAAGAGAAACAAGAAAAAAAGACAATTAAAAAAAAGCAGCGACCTTCTGCTGATTTCTGTGCGCCTGGTATCTCAGATTTGAATTTAACGGTCTTATGCCATTTGAGCGGTGGAAAGTGGAGGCAGAAAATGAGACAAATTAGAGCGAAAAAGGAGAGCAACGAAGTACAAAGAGAAACAAGAAAAAAAGCAGCGACCTTCTGCTGAACCAGAACCAGGTCTCTTGATGAAGGTGGCGGGGGAAGCAACTGAAAATGAATTTCTTCATTCTGGCTATAATTATAATCCAATCTGATTCAGATTCGGCCATCTTGTAGATATGGTCATTCTATTCGATAATACGCTTTTACTTTTTTGGTATCCCTTTTCTTGACGGAAGGGGGCGGGGCGAAATTTTGAAATAACTTGTAGCAGTGTGATATCACATGAGCCTGGAACGAGAGACAAAATGCAACATTTTGCAACACGCTGCTTCCAGCTCAATCGGACTTTCGCAGTCAGGTTATTTCTATTTTTCCAGCTAGTCAGTTAGCAAAGTCTAATGTCATAGCACTATTAAGTGGGCTGAATTCGTTGTTTTCCTCGGTATATTTACCGTATATTTTGATATTGGCAAGGTATATTTCGGTATATTTCTGAGGGTCAGAGAGTATATTTGATCAACAAGTCCGGGGTCACACTGATACCAGCCCTACCAAAAAAACAATAATAATTAAAAATAATTTTTAAATTAATTTAATCAAAATGATACCGAAGAAAACGACGGTGAAGGACTCGCACATAGTGAAGATAGCCGTGGAGCGCGAGAATCATATGGCACAGTTGATAAATCTGGATCAGAGACATCCGCTAGCAAGTATGTCAATGAAAGTGAACAATTAAAAGCGATTGCTATTGTTTTAGGATCAAAACCAAGGCTAGGGCACATCCTGTACGTGTAAGGTCCCATGAATCAGCCAAATGCTGTGTGTGGTTTTGTTGTGGCTTGTGGCAAGATCTTAAAAATCTTAAACCAACGCCCTTTCTAGTGCGGCAGTCTTATCGTGATGTCAGCGCAGGCCGCTCATTAAAATGCACCGCATTAGCCGCGACAGGAAGTAAGGTTTATTATCATTGTGTCTCATGGTCTGTTGGCTTGCAGGTAAAATCCAGGATATATGCAATGGTTGGTCCATCAGCGACCATCAGAACTACGCCCTGCAGTTCTGCGATTCGAACAACCAGAAATATGTGACGGAAAAGAATCGAAACGAGATCAAGAATGGCTCTGTACTCCGTCTGCAGTATTCGCCGTCGAAGACGGCCAGCGATGCCATGGAAACGCTGCTCAATGGCAGCCCTCAGGAGAAGGTCCAGCGACTGCAGGATCTCACATCGCTGAGCACCGATCACACATTTGCCTTGGAGTTCATCAAGGAGAAGGGTCTGGACATACTCATCAAGATGATTGAAGATGTCGGCCAGAATAACGAAGACATCCTGAAGTACAGCTTGGGCAGCTTCGTTGAGCTGATGGAGCACGGCACGGTGTCCTGGGAGGTGCCCGAGAACTCATTTGTCGCCCGAAATATTGAGATTGTGCGAAATTTCCAAAAGTATCCGACAAACTGTGGCGAGAGCGCGCTCTCCAATCTGGAGAATATCGTGCAGTGTAGCAGCAAGCACGTGCTGGTGGCCGAGGACATCAAGTTGCAGGATATTCTGCGCCTGCTGCAGGAGGTCAACTCGCCGGTGATGCGCCAGAATGCCATTGCTCTGCTGAATGCTCTGTTCGTGAAGGCGGATGAGGCGCGCAGGCGAACGATTGCCAACACGATTAGCGCCAAACAGTTCCGCCTGGCCCTGATTGGCAACGGTCTCGGCACGGAAATGACCCACCAGCTGTATGTGCTGCAAACGCTGACTCTGGGCCTCTTGGAGAAGCGTATGCGCATGAAGATGAATGCCCAAGATCAGGATGCACACGAGAAAATCAAGGAGCTGCGTCGCATTGCCTTTGACGATCACACCACAGCACTGAGTCAGAGTGACGATCACATTCGTCGCGGCGGTGGATCGGGCGCTGGGAATATCAACTTTTCCCAGTACTACAAAAAGTTGGGCTTCAAATGTGACATCAATCCCGCTCAGGATTTTATAGAAACGCCACCAGGTAAGGGCTGCAAACTGCCAATTAAAGGATAGTCCATAATGAACTTAATTTCAGGAATTCTGGCCCTCGACTGCATGGTGTACTTTGCCCGCAACTACACCCAGCAATACGCAAAGATTGTGCGAGAGAACTCGTGCCGTGCGGATGAGCACGAGTGTCCCTTTGGACGCACCTCCATTGAACTGGTGAAGGTTCTGTGCGACATTCTGCGCATTGGTGAGCCGCCAGCCGAGCAATCCGGCGACTTTCAGCCCATGTTCTTCACCCACGACTCGCCGTTCGAGGAGTTCTTTTGCATTTGCGTCATAACGTTGAATCGCACGTGGAAGGACATGCGTGCCACAGCGGAAGACTTCAGCACCACCTTCAGTGTGGTGCGTGAGCAGATTCAGCGCACACTTAAATGCAGGCCAGAGAACCTGGAGGACTTTCGCAATAAGATTGCTCTGCTCACCTATCAGCAGATTACAACTCTGCGTCAGCAGGAGCGCACATCGAAGGAGGAGTGCGATTCCACAGCCTCGGCGATTGTCAAACTGAAGGAGAAGATATCGCCGCACATTCTGGAGCTAATTAAGCAACAGCGTCTCTCGTTTTTGGTAGAAGGTAAGAAATTCACTCTAGGCTTTTTTCTATATATTTAATTGCTTCCCAATGGTTTGGCAGGCACTCGCTTCTCCAAGTATTTACGTGGCACACGAACCAAAGACAAGTTCTGGTATGCCCGCCTCTCGCCGAACCACAAAGTCATTCATTACGGGGACTGCGATGAGAAGAACATACCGACACTGGAGGAGCTGCCCAAGAAGCTGCCCATCAGTGAGATTAAGCAGCTGCTGGAGGGCAAGGAGTGTCCGCACATGAAGGAGACACGCATACGCAAGTCGGCAGTGAATTTGGCCTTTTCCATTACGTTTGAGAGCATGGATCACTCGACGCTGGACTTTGTGGCGCCCGATGAGAGCATATTTAATTATTGGACGGATGGCATTAATGCGCTGCTCGGCCAGCCGATGGTCAGCAAGCAGAAGAACGAAGATTTTGATACACTGCTGTCAATGGAGATAAAGCTGCGTCTGCTCGATACAGAGGGTGTTGACATCAGCAAGGATCCACCACCGATACCCGAGGATCCCGAGAATTACGATTTCTGTTTCGAGAGCTAAGCGAGGCAGTCAACGATAATATCATTCATACTTTAGATTCCCTTCACCACAAGATACATGCCAAAGTGTACCCCATTACAATATTCTCCGATTTGATATTTTTTTATTCGTAGTATTTTTGTTTGTTTGTGCAATTCAATTACCTATATCGAAATGCAGTTCCGTTTAGTGAACATTTTACACGTACACCATACCATACCATTTATTAATTATATTTAGTATTATATAATATAGAGGAGATTCATTAAATAACACATTTTATATACGTATCCGTATAAACATTTTTGTACAAAAATTAATAACAAGAGAAGCGTATTCTTTATCAAAGGCTAAAGGTTTATGAGTTGGAAAAGCGTTGATCGGCAAGCCGAAGCTGGAAGATGGAGGCCCTGGCTAGCAATGTGCTAGGTAGCTAGGTAGCCTCACCATCTTTCCTTCTTCCAGTTTGCAATTGTAGGATGATAAAAAAACGCGGCAAAAGCTTTTTGGAGCAAACACACACACAAAAGACAGACAGCCTACCCGACTGGGTTGTGTTGGGCTGCCGTCTCTTTTCATTATCCACGCACGGGCACCTTGCGGCGACGTGCCGGCGCTCGATCCTATATCCTTAATCAAATGTTATCCTCCAACAGCAGATCGGTGTCATCTCCTCGATCCGGCAGGCACACGAAAAACTCCAGCAGATTGAGTATGGGGCCGCGCGAAAATGGATTCTGATAGCGACCACGCTTATCCCGCAGATATGGATATCTTTTGTAATTAAACATTTCGTTCGTAGTTAAATTCATACAGGCATGGAGAATCTATGGAAGATTAGGAGGAAAGGATTAGAAGTATAACGAGAAGGAACGTGCGAGTCGCTTCTGTGGACGCGACTCAACTTTTATACCCGTACTCAGTCAGTATATAAATTTGTGAGCTTATGGAAGTGGGCGGGGCGAAATTTTGAAATACACTTGTAGCAGCTGCACTCTAGCTCTTATAGTCTCTGAGAATTAGGCGCTCATCAAGACGGACGGACAGACAGGCATAGCTATATCGACGAGGCTATTGATGCTGATCAATCCCTTTTACCACAAATCTAATATCGAATATACCCCTTAACTCTCCGAGTACGGGTATAAAAAGAAGAGAGTGAAGCTGAACCAACCGAAGTGCAGGTAAGAATCCAGCCCAAGCCGCAGAACACCACCGCCTCGATGAGTCCCAGCACATAGAGCAGGGTGAATCCCTCGATCATCACACAGTAGCAGGCAAAGTAAATGGTAAATGAGCAATTCACCGCCACCGACAAGACAAATAGGAAGAACCACATGCGATTCCGTAGACCCACACAATTGTAGATGAACGGACAGTGGTGGTCAAAGTAGGAGACGCAGCGATTGCACACGCGGCAATGCTTGGCCCGCAGCGGACGCAGGCAGCGGCAGCTGTGGCAGAGCCGGGTGAGCATCACGTTGCGCTTCTTCAGCTTATCGAAGTAGGGAATCTGCTTGATGGCCCGATAGTAGGCATCGGAGCTGAGTGGAATGTAGCCGGGATCGCGCCGATTGGCAATCGCCCAGCTAATCCACATGACGGCGTTCCAGTAGATGAAGCAGTAGTGCGAGCGACGCAGTATGTTCCAGGTGATCGGTATGGCGCGTATCATGTACATGGGATAGCCCCACAGCAGCACGGAGAATAGGAAGAGAAAGAGCGGCCCCTTGGAGTCGCCGGCACCGCCAAAGAGCCAGCCCCAGCTCTCCGAGACGGATGGAATCCAACGTGACTTCTTCTTCACCTCGCCATAGAGGAGGCGCACCACATCCTGGTGCTGATGCGCCTGTGCCAGCATTATGGGTGTCTTGCCATTCTTATCCCGCGGCTCCAGATCCAGCTGCGACTTCTCGCAGAGCAGACGCACGCAGGTCATATTCCCCGATAGACACGCCAAATGCAGCGGCGTCGATCCAAAGTTATCCGTCTTCTGCAGCTCCACGCCGGAGTACATGAGGAGGCGCATCAGATCCGCGTGTCCCTTGTAGGCCGCCCAATGGAGTGCCGTGTCGCCGTTGATATCCGTCAGATTGTTGAGTGCACCCATGCCCAGGAGATAAGCAGCCGTCGCTGTGCGTCCATACATGCACGCCAAGTGGAGCGGCGTCAGGCCCTTGAAGTCGGCAGCATTGACGGCGACACCCGCCTGCAGCAGCACCTGCACCACCGAGGCGTGGCCTTTGCGACAGGCCCAGTGGATGGGTCGCGGTCCCTGGGTCCCCAGGCAGGGCAGATCAATCGGAGCTGTGCGCTCGATCAGGTATCGCATCAGCTGGACATTGCCATTCAGCGCGATCCAATGGGCCGGCGTGTAGCCGTGGCGGTCCCTGGCCGACAGGCACTCCATGCCAAACTTATCCACCAGATTCTCCACCTCGCTGACCTCCCCATTCTTGATGATGTCAAAGATGTCGTCCAGATTGACCGTTGTGGCCCCATCCAATCCCTCGAACAGCAGGACGCTGTCGTGATCCTCATTGCTGGGCCCATGGTTACCGTGGCCAGCGCCGCGGCCCGTCAGTGGTGGCGAGTGCGGTCGATGGTCGATATCGATGTCCTCGGCATGGGCATGCTCCTCCGCCACAACCATGTTGCATGACGAGGAGGCCGTCAGGGGAAGCGCCCACACACTCCGCGCCGCCCCCGGGCTGGGATGAATCTTGCTGGAAGCCACGTTGTAGAAATCGAAATCTACCCCAAGACGTTCAGCGCCACCAGAGAGCGGTGGTTGATGATGAAGGGGATTTTCCAATAGATGTGCAATTTTGTTGGCTTTTTAAACTCCGCGCGCGACAATAATTCAAGCTTTCACTTTTTATATGTGCCAAACAGCCGAAGCACACAAAAGTAAACACGATGGCGAAGAAATTATGTCAGCACAATTAGAAAATCAATAACTAGTCCGAAAACAGGACACGGTCACGCATTGCGGCCCGCCACAGTTCGAAATCGATTTGGCGCCAAAGCTAAAACAGCTGACATTACGGTATTTAAGTTTTCTATGCGCATCTCTGGTCACACTCGCTATGTCTCTCCCTCCCTCTCTCTCTCTCTTGCTCTCTTTGGATAATTTTGTTTCGCAAAATGGGTGACAACGTGGTGCCGGAATTAAGTAATTTGGATTTAAACAAGCAAAAGGCATGTTAAACTCTTAACGTATTGCATTGCAGTGTTTGAGCAGTAATCAGTCATCGAGTTATGTTGAAACTCGTGCCCCTTGGCGTGGCCGGCAGATCTTGTAAAGCAATAAGCAGCACTTGCCTGCGAGCCACAGTCACAGCCAAGTCCAAATATCAGTCGCAGCATCTACTACTACAACAGCAGCAGCAAAAGAAACCAAGAAGCTATCGCTGCTACGCAACTTTGGTTGGTGTCTTTAAGCCTTGTCCTAACTGTTCTGTTCTAAGTGTTCCTACATATGTATGTCTGTACTATGTATGTATGCATGTGCTATGTACAAATGTGTTCCATTGGTTGCTTGAGTTGAATCACTGCCAGCCGGCTAGCTCCATTCTTTTACACCTCTGACTCAACGTATCTCCCCTATTGCATCAGTTTTAAAGTTCCGCAGAAAAACGTTCACAGATAGATAGGTCCGCTAGGCAGTACAAGAAGAGCCGAAAGATATTTGTCAGTGCCATTGCCTCGCTTACAATTGTTCAAATAACCAGAAAGCCAGAGTGCCAGCAAACAGTCACGATAGCAGACACCGAAAAATCATTCAACTAATTGCTTTTCGGCTGCATACGTAGCCAAAAAAAAAAAAAAGCCTGCGTATACTCGATTGATTTTTACCTTATTGATTTTTCCTCCTAATTCGCAGGCTGGCAAAATGAAGAAGGAGAAAAAGGAGAAGCCGGCCGGTGCTGCGGGAGACAGTCGCAAGGGTAAGCAGTCGAGATTTTTATTTTTCTCAGCAAAAAAAGGAATTCACTCAAGAGACTTTCCTTTCGTTTTAGAACTGAACCCCTTGCCGCAGTACATTGAGGAACGTAATATCCTTTGGGAGAAATGCAAGGCCGAGTATCTCGCTGAATTGGCTGCCAAGCCACGCGAGACCATCAAAGTCACCTTGCCCGATGGCAAGCAAGTGGATGCCATCTCCTGGGACACTACGCCCTACGATGTGGCACGTGGCATCAGCCAAGGACTGGCCGACAACACAATTATATCCAAGGTGAATGGACAGGTGTGGGACTTGGATCGTGTGCTAGAGGAGAGCTGCTCCCTGCAGCTGCTCAAGTTCGACGATCCCGAGGCGCAGGCCGTCTTTTGGCACAGCTCCGCGCACATAATGGGTGAGGCCATGGAGCGCATCTACGGTGGACATCTGTGCTATGGTCCGCCCATTGAGAGTGGCTTCTACTACGACATGCATCTGGATGGGGAAGGCGTAAGTGGTTTCTGTTCCCATCAAACGTTCCCTGGGACTAACGCAGCTCTTCCTGTAGATCTCCACCAATGACTATGGAACCATGGAGTCGCTGGTCAAGCAAATTGTCAAAGAGAAGCAAAACTTTGAGCGTCTGGAGATGAAGAAGGCCGATCTGCTGGAGATGTTCAAGTACAACGAGTTCAAGTTGCGCATCCTGAACGAGAAGGTGACCACGGATCGCACCACTGTGTACAAGTGCGGCTCCCTCATCGACCTGTGTCGCGGTCCCCATGTCCGGCACACAGGCAAGGTGAAGGCTCTGAAGATAACCAAGAATTCGTCCACATATTGGGAGGGCAAGGCCGATGCCGAGACATTGCAGAGGGTCTATGGCATCTCGTTTCCGGATCCCAAGCAGCTCAAGGAATGGGAGAAGCTGCAGGAGGAGGCCGCCAAGCGGGATCATCGCAAGATTGGACGTGAGCAGGAGCTGTTCTTCTTCCACGAGTTGTCGCCCGGCTCCTGCTTCTTCCAGCCACGCGGTGCCCACATCTACAACACGCTGATGGGCTTCATCAAGTCGGAATACAGGAAGCGGGGCTTCCAGGAGGTCATCTCGCCCAACATCTATAATGCCAAGCTGTGGATGACATCCGGACACTGGCAGCACTACGCCGAGAACATGTTCTCCTTCGAGGCGGAGAAGGAGAAGTTCGCCCTAAAGCCCATGAATTGCCCGGGCCACTGTCTCATCTTTGATACTCGCAACCGATCCTGGAGGGAGCTGCCACTCCGCATGGCCGACTTTGGTGTCCTGCATCGCAATGAGCTGTCGGGCGCGTTGACTGGTTTGACGCGTGTGCGTCGCTTCCAGCAGGACGATGCCCACATCTTCTGTGCCCCCGAGCAGATCAAGAGCGAGATGAAGGGCTGTTTGGAGTTCCTGAAGCATGTCTATACCATCTTTGGGTTCACCTTCCAGCTGGTGTTGTCCACGCGGCCAGAGAAGTATCTGGGCGAGCTGGAGCAGTGGAATGATGCTGAGAAGGCCCTGGAGGAGTCGCTCAATGAGTTCGGCATGCCCTGGAAGGAGAATCCCGGCGATGGCGCCTTCTACGGACCCAAGATTGATATTACCATTATGGATGCATTGAAGCGGGCACATCAGTGCGCCACCATACAGCTGGACTTCCAGCTGCCCATTCGCTTTAATCTCAACTACATTGCCGACGATGGCGAGAAGAAGCGTCCCGTCATCATTCATCGCGCCATCCTGGGCTCTGTGGAGCGTATGATTGCCATTCTCACGGAGAACTATGCCGGCAAATGGCCCTTCTGGATATCTCCACGTCAAGTGATGGTCGTCCCCGTGGGTCCGGCCTACGATCAATATGCACAGACGGTCAAGGAGCAGCTGCATGCCGCTGGCTTCATGAGCGAGGCCGACTGCGATGCCGGCGATACGATGAACAAGAAGATCCGAAATGCTCAATTGGCACAGTTCAACTTTATTCTGGTGGTCGGCGACAAGGAGCGCTCATCGAACACCGTCAATGTGCGCACGCGCGACAACAAGGTGCATGGCGAGGTCTCCGTCTCGGAGTTGATTACCAAGCTGCAGAAGATACGCGATGAGTTCATCACAAACGAGGATAACTTCTAAATGCAGCGGCCGCAGCCACATCTTTAACTCTATTTATATATCGTATACTTAATATTTTGCAAAGCAAACTAGTTGGCATTTTTATTCTTTCTCAATGTGTAATCTACGCTTATGAAACCGGAATTCAGAAATAAAAACAAACAATAAAAGAAAGTACTATGCCTCGTATTTATGGAATTTCATGTCACCCCAACCACATGTCCCAGTTCCACTTCCAGTCCCCTGCCTGAATCAGTTAACAACATTCACGCCCGATAAGATATGGCGCCCCAAATTGCAGCGTACCGAAGCACGAACCCTACTGATTTTATGAGTCACTCTTATTAGGGGTTTTAAGTTGTTTTTGTTTTGTTTTTAATTTATTACTAATATCGTGTATATTTTTTCATTTTCATAATTTTGATTTTTATTAAAAATTGCATTCATAGGTTTTTTATGTTTTGTGTTTTTTTTCTTTCTTTTATTCAATTATCAAATTTTGTAAGCCATTTGTATGCTTTTCGCGTAAAAAATGCACAAATTTTCTCTCGCTAATCGAAGCAAAAAATCGTTAATAATATTATTAAATGTTTTACTCAGCCCTCTGCCTTGGCCCGCCTTGTCTATCTGTCTGTCTGTTTCATTATTTTTGTCATAAAAATACATAATAAATATTTATTATATATATATCTTTATATATTTATTCATAAGATGCACGTGGCCAAGTCCTATGCCATCAATGGTTTCCAGTTGTTTTTTATTTTTGTTTCGTTTGCAGTTGACGACGAGCTATAAACACAAAAACCAAGTCAAAAACGCGCAAAACAAAAGCCGCAAACAGAAGGGGGGCTATAAATGGAAAAAAAAAAAAAAAACTATTTGCTTAGCCGTGGAATCATTTTGAACACAGGGCTGGCTCTCAGTGGTATCTAATGCGCTTTGCTTTTTCGTATGGAGATGCCAAATGGAATGTTGGATCGGTAACCGTTTGGATCTTTCTTTGTCTACCGCTTGGCCTGATTTAAGTACATAAAAGCGTGCAAGTTCTTCTAAGGCATCTCAGCATTTGCTTGTCGTTTAATTGAATAGGGGAGGCGTGCGTCTGTCTGTCTGTCTTTGCAGGGAAACGGGTGAGATGTGAATGTGTATGGAAAGTGTTCGTTTCGTTCTCTTGATAACTGATCTCTCTCATTTCAACGAGTGGGAGTGGGAGTGGGGGTAGGTTTGCCCTATGCATCTCAGGCCTGCCTCAGGATTAGCTCGCTTAATATTGCATTGCATTATTTAATTAACATTAATTAGTTAGCCGATTTCGTTAATTGTTTTTGTTTTTCTTTTTCTTTTGTTTGTTGGTTTAGTCTATTTTTTCTGCTTTTTGCTATCATTTTTTACTTTATAAATAAACTTAAACATAAAATTGTGTATGTGTGTGTGTGTTTAGATGTTTACTTGGAGGTTTCGCATCCTCTGTCCACTACACTGCTGCTGATCCAGCCACACAAACACCCTACTACCCACGCACACCCGTTGCCAGCGTCTGTGTGTGTGTGTGTGCTGCTGCTGCTGTTGTTGTTGTTGTTGTTGTCGTAGCGGAGGATGAGACTTGGGTTGGGGTGGTGTCTAGAACACTAAGTTCTAGCATGCACAACCGCCTTCGGGATCTTTTGTCTCATTGGGCGAGTCCTTAAGCACAACCTCTTGCATGTCCTCGGAGGGTTTGTTCTCAGTGGAGTCCATACCGGGCAGCGCTGCCGCCACGCGTCTAAACAGTTGCTTCACATTGTAACCGGCTTTGGCGCTGGTCTCAATGAACATCACATTCAGCTCTTTCGCCTTGCGCTCCCCCTCCTCGGTGGAGACTTGCCGCTTGTCGGACAGATCCGTCTTGTTGCCCACAAGCATAATGATGACATCACTGCCGCGCTCTGTGCGAACGTCATCTATCCATTTGGAGGTCTGGTGGAATGAGTTCGTATTGGTGATGTCGTAGACGACCACAGCCACCGTGGAGTCGCGTATGTAGGAGGGTATCAGCGAACGGAAGCGCTCCTGGCCCGCAGTATCCCACAGCTGGAGGCGCACTGTCCGATCCTCAAGGTACATGGTCTTGGATAGAAAATCAATACCGATGGTCGCCTGGTAGGTGTTGTCGAAGCTGTCATACATGAAGCGTGTAATCAACGACGTCTTGCCCACACTCTGTTCGCCCAGGAAAACCAACTTGAATTTCCTCAGCGGATTGCCAAAGTCGCCGGATGACATGGTTCTTGCGATGTCGTCTGCGTCTCTGCTCTGCTCTGCCCTGCTTTCTTCGATCTACGTTGCTCGCCCTACGTACGCCGCCTGTGCAACTCTCGTACGTGTCTACTTTTTTTTAATTGCGAGTTTGCTGACCTCTCTCTCTCTCTCTTGCGCACTCTCTCCCCTCTTTTGTTGATACTGGGATGGGCCAGGGGTTTTAGTGGCTCCTATTGCAGGCGTAGCCCTGCGTTGTCGATACTAAACAAATATTGGTCGTTGCACACACGTTCTAATTGCTTTTCGGGCAGCAGCAAGGGCCGATTACTTTATAAATTAATTCGTTTCGTCGTGGAAAAAATATAGCCAGCAATCGTCTTCTTCTTCTTCCACTCTGAGTCAGTTGCTGTGTGACCATCCGCAGCAAAATACCGAAAATACCACAGTGCTTTCCAATATTAGTTGCAGTATTAAAATTCAAAAAGGGTTTTGCAAATGTTTGCCAATTTCGAAACTTTTAAGGGAATGAAATTAAACGTCTTGAGACAAATATACACTTGAACGCAATTGTTTCGCTGAGTGGCTAGATGCAATTCATGCATAGTATACTCCGACAAGTGTCACTGCTTGGGGAGTCACTTAATCTAAATTATAATAAACGCTTATCTGCAAAACATGAAAGTTAATTGAAAGCCTTATCTTTTCCAACGGCAGCAGTCTCAAATTCCGTACCGCGAATTAATTTAAACGGACCACGATAAAGGTAGATGTAAACAGTTCCGCGAAAACTATGATTGCAAACGGACCGCAAACAATGGCGCGCTCTTGTCTTGTCGCGTGCTCGCTACTCCTGGCCCTTTGCCAGACTTCTGCGATAGCAGCTGATCCAAACGGACGAGTTGTGGGAGGAGGCGCTGCAGCCGCAAACAGCGCTCCCTACGCCGTGTCTATGCAGTACACAGGCACTCACTATTGTGCCGCCAGCATCCTGAATGCGAACTGGCTGGTTACGGCTGCCCATTGCCTAACGAATAGCGCTCAAGTTCTGGGCAGTACACTGGTCGCAGGAAGCATTGCAGTGGCGGGAACGGCTAGCACAACCCAAAAGCGAAGCATTACCTACTTTGTGGTCAACGATTTGTATACCGGAGGGACGGTGCCCTATGACATTGGCTTGATTTACACACCCACAGCGTTTACGTGGTCGGCGGCAGTGGCTCCTGTTAGCCTTCCGGCATCTGGAAAGGTGCCAACGGGCACGGCCAGCCTGTATGGTTGGGGAAGCACCAGCACAACCAATTCGGCCACATATCCCACAACCCTCCAAGTAGCCAATAATCTGCCAATCATCAGTTTGAGCTCGTGTGAAGCTGCTTTGGGCGCGAAGGGAAGCGATGTTCATTCGACGAATTTGTGCACTGGTCCCCTCACCGGCGGCGTCAGCATCTGCACCTCGGACTCTGGTGGTCCTTTGGTCCAAGGCAATGTCCTTATTGGCATAGTGTCCTGGGGCAAGCTGCCCTGCGGCCAGGCCAACTCTCCTTCCGTTTATGTGCAGGTCTCTTCGTTTATAACCTGGATATCGTCCAATCAGGTGGCGCCCAGCTAAAAGTCTTGGCAAGAGTTTTCATATCAATAAAATCAGAGCAATAAAGCATTTCTTCTATGTTATTTAATCTATATTTGATAGCTCCATTAATGGAGCTCCAACATATTATAAATCAATCCTTTCAAATCTGTGACCCCATTATAAAGAGGTTGATGGCAATCTTTACATGGTAATTTCTGTGATGTCGAATGTGAACGTCCTACATATAAAAATAAGACGAATTTTCAAAATTATTTTGCCATTATAACGTAGCTCTATTTTTAGCCCTATAGCTGGTGCTAAGGTAAACAATTCGTTTTCGAGATTTTTGCAAAAAACCAAGGCATTTGCACGGGACAAAAATATATAAGTGGTTTTCGCCGCGATCAATTCCAACTTAAATTTCTGCGAAAGTTGAGCCTATATATTGATGCGAATTTATGATAAATATTGTGCATTGATGTTTCTTGAAAATGGTTATAATTTTACGCAAATATGATTTTTAGTTTTCTAAAGTTATATGTAAGCGTCTGTCGCACGTGAAAAAAATTCGTATGTTAACAACAGTTAAAAATATATAGGTTAGCCGAGATTGAACCATTTTTCTCGTATTTTTTTTAGATAGTTTAATTTATATGTTTTTGCATTAAAGTTAATGAAATTATGTGTCAATTGGGTAAATTTAGATAATAATATCGCAACAGAGTTATATGGAAATGTGTTTTTATTGACATTTTATTTTTTAATCTCTTTGGCCTCGGCCCGGCGGTTAAATGTACAATTGCAATTAATCTGATTAGCAGGATGACTATTAAATAATCCTACTAATTTTTTTTTAAACCACTTACATAATTGGAAAAAAAAACGACTTTTGCCCCCGAATACTAAAAGAAAACTTATTAAAGTATTGCGGGATTTTCTCTTTGGACCACGGTGGCAACGCCAGAAGGCAGAAAAGCTTCCTAGCAGGTCGAAAAAGCAAGAACGGAAAGGAGGGTTTTCTGATAATTACAATTAACAAACACACGAAAACACTGCACTGAACGTATTAGCATGGAAGTGGAAAGTCCCGAACACAATAGAGAATTCGCTGAAGTGGACATCAATAATGGTGCTGACTCTGCATCCGATGAGGAGGAAGAAGTACCAGCGCCCGGCAGCGTTACTTTGGATAACGAAAATGATTTATTTGTATCAGCAATGAGTCCCAGTAGCATCGGGGACGTGCATGTAAGTTAAATCAGCATACGCACAACAGGATGCCTATTAAATTAGGTTTACTTTGTGGGGCGGCGCTCTGCGATTGCTCTGCTTTATCAACCCAGGGAACAGAGGCTGTTGCTTTGCTTTGTTTGGCGCTGACAACGTCATTAGTGCCGCCCACCAACACACAACCATCATTCATGTTATTGGGGTGCTTATCATCAATTGAATCGTCTCTTCTCTCTCTCTGAATTACAGCCACTGCAAGAAGTGTTGACGGACGATGGCGACTTCTACATTAAAATTGTTGTATCTGACCCCCAGAAAATTGGCGATGGCATGGGCTCATATTTGGCCTACAAGTGAGTCACGCGGCCCCACTGGCTTATAATTGAATTGCATGCTATTGACTTTGGTTTATGTTACTTATCGGCGGTTTTCCCTTCCCAATAGAGTGACGACCAAAACCAACATTCCCAAGTTTAAGCGAACAGACTTCAGCACTATGCGGCGCTTCAGTGATTTTCTTGGCATACATGATCTGCTGGTCGGAAAGTACATGCGGGTGGGACGGATTATACCCCCAGCCCCATCGAAGAACATAATAGGCAGCACCAAGGTGAAGATTAGTCCGCAGCAGAGCGAACCGGGCACTCCAATGAACCAGGAATGGGTGGAAATTCGACGTGCAGCGCTGGAACGCTTTGTCCATCGCACCGCCCAGCACCCTATATTGCGTGTGGATTTGGATTTCATGAATTTCCTGGAAAGCGATCAGGAGCTGCCGCGTGCCGTCAACACCTCTGCGCTGAGTGGCGCCGGTGTGATTCGCTTGTTTAACAAAGTGGGCGAAACTGTGAACAAAATTACCTATAAAATGGATGAGAATGATCCCTGGTTTGACGACAAGATCACTGAGGTGGAGAATCTGGATGCGAACCTTCAGAAACTGCATAATGCCATGAAGTCTTTGGTCACCTCACGGCGGGAACTTTCTGCACTGACGGGCTTGGTGGCCAAATCCGCTGCAATGCTTAGCACATGCGAGGAACACACTGGACTGTCGCGAGCCCTGTCCAATCTGGCGGATGTGGAGGAGAAAATGGAACTACTACGCTCTGAGCAGGCAAACTCGGACTTCTTTATTCTCGCCGAGTTTATCAAGGATTACTTGGGCTTGTTTGGGGCCATTAAGTGCATTTTTCACGAGCGCGTCAAGTCTTTTCAGAACTGGCAATATGCACAAATGCAGTTGTCCAAGCGACGGGAGAATCGTGGCCGCTTCGAGCTGGCCAATCGTGCGGATAAGTTGGATCAGGCCCAGTTAGAAGTGGATGAGGTGGGTCTGCCAAAGAAGTTTTCTTCTTCACTGTTATTGAAATTGTATTTTTGTGTCTTTCAGTGGCAGGGAAAGGTACAACGCTGTCAGCAGCACTTTGATGACATATCGGCGGAAATAAAGCGTGAAATGGAGCGCTTCGAATTGACCAGAGTGAAAGACTTTAAAGCAAATATTATCAAATATATAGAAGACCAAATGGCACATCAGCAACAGGTGAATATGCATATAATTATTTGACTATACGTTCATGCACAAACGAACTCTTTTTTGCATTCTAGATCGTCAGCTACTGGGAGGCCTTTGCCCCCTTTGCCCGTGAAATCGTTTAACTTAGATTCACAACCTTTTCTCAATGCATTTCCAAGAGCTGTCCAAGAGCCAACAGCTAAAGCGCGCTAAGAATATTTTGTTCAGCGGGACCAAATTTTTTCTTGATCTAAAGATTTGGAGCTATATGTCGCCTTCAGCATTAATCTAGCAATAGCAATCTGCCGCGGCTGTTTGTATATTTCCAAGCAAATGTTTTCAATTCCTTTCAGAAAGTTAAACTTTAGCTACCGATGCATTCGCACCAACGTTATCTCTTTATTCTTTATATACACAGTAATTATGCTTTTATATTGTTATAACAAAGCAAAATGGTAATTGCAGTTATTAAGCTGCGTATTCTCATTATTCACACATATTCGGTATTATTTAACAACAACAAAAACAAAAGGCAACGTGAATCCAGAAATTTGATAAAAGTGAAGCAGAAGACTTTATTGGCGATTTCCAAATTGAAATGTATACCATTATTATTAGGAAAATATTTTTCCTTAATTGTTGTTGGTATATTTATGTATTTATATATATATATATTCCTATTAAAACATTTTGTATCATGACAAAGAGAGCATTTCAAGCAAATAAATTTGTAAATATGTATAGATGTAAATATTAGTTGTATTTCGTTCTCAGAGACTATAAGAGCTAGAGTAACATGCTCTAGACTCCTGTGAGATATTACACTGAATTAAAGGGCAAAATTCACTCACAAAATCGGAAGAATATGTCAACAATGTATTGTAATTTTCAAAAAAAAAAAAACATGACCGCCAAATTCGCTCCGCTTATCGCACAAAAGTACCGATACTTCTTTCTAAATCTACCCTGTGCATCGATAAATATAATCAAGAGTCGAAATATCTGATTGAACGTCGTAGAATAACATAAAAATATGGTAAATTTACTCAAAAATTTAGAAAATGCAGTTCCGTTGATGATTTAACCCACAGAATAATCCATATTAGTTTAAAAGAACATTACCCACGAATATATCACAAAACGAAACTAAAATATCGATATATCAATTTATATTTTATGTTTAGTCATTATTGACAAAATTCGAAACTTTTCTGGAAGTTTTCTGGGATAGGCGAGAGCAATAAAAGCAGCCGCATTCGGTGAGACGGCATATTTTCAATTCAACAACGGAACCACAAGAACACCATGGAGTTTCCACATTTGGGCCAGCATTGCAGCGAGCAAACATGCAACAGATTGGGTGAGCTGCAACCAAACCTTTAACCAGGAAGTAATTGTCAGACCAGACGGAATACTAATTCAATTAATTTCGGGAATATATTTATAGATTTCCTACCTGTTAAGTGTGACTCATGCGACAAAGTATTTTGCGCCTCCCACTACAACTACAATCGTCACAATTGTCCCGGAGCATACAAGAAAAATGTCCAGGTACCCATCTGTCCGCTGTGTCATGAGCCAGTGCCCACGGCGCCTGGCGTGGAGCCCGACCTAACAGTTGGCCAGCACATTGACAAGCAATGCAAATCGGAGAGCAAGAAAATCTATACAAATCGCTGCCATGCCAAAGGTTGTAAGCGCAAGGAACTCATTCCTGTGAAGTGCACACAGTGCCACTTGAATTTCTGTCTACGTCACCGCCATACCAGCGACCACGAATGCAGGCCGAACGAGCCCACGCCAGCAGCGCCCAGTGGGTCCAGCGTTTTCCAATCAATATTCAGGCCATCCACTGACACGCGTTCGATGGCGGCCAAAGCGGCGGAAAGTCGTCGTCAGAATAAGCCAGCAAACAATCTGTTTAACTCAAATCCCAGACCAAGACCAGTGCAGGCCACACAAGTTCAAAATATACAGGGGAATATGGTAAGTTAATCATTATAATGGAACCATGGCTGTCTTCAGACTAACCAATTTCTATTCCAGACTGAAGACGAGGCTTTGGCACGTGCGCTATCCTTATCAATAATGGAGCAGGATGATGCTGCGGAACAGGAACGTAACCGCCAGGCACCAGCGCAGAATAATGCACCGGCTGTGACTGTGGGCGGTCAGCAATCAAATGCCAAGGACAAATGTTCGCTCTCCTAGTTACTGCCGTCTACAAAACTCGCCGACATATCTATCACTTGACCAGCAGCAAGGATGCTGCCCACACAATTACCTAATATTAGAAAATATTTCAAACTATTTGCATATTGTTATTGTAATGTTTGTTTGATAATTTACTTCGACTTCGTCACATTCTACGTGGTTTTAGCAAAAATAAATCAATGTTAATTCTACATTTTGTTTTTCGGAAAGGATAAACCACAACTGGATACAGGAGGCAGCTTCTAAACATACATACATACAATATATATATATTACATGGCTTAGCTAGATAAATAGATATACATATAAGTTACATAGGGGGATAGATACATTGCAAACTATTCGGTGCTGGCCTGCGCGGATACAATCTCTGCGGGCGCACTCTCCACTGGCCCTGCTTTCAATTCTGATTGAGCCGCCTCTTGTTCCTCTGCCTTGGGCTCTTCCAGCAGCTCGTCTCTGCTGGACATTGTGCTCAGTTTTCGGCCACCTGCTGTGGCACCTTCCACTGAGGACGAGGTGCTGATTTTTCGTGCTGCTGCCGCTGCAAAACTAGCCACTCCCTCTGCAGCCAAAATACTAGCACTGGAAAGCAAGATTGATACCTGTTCCGCAGACGGGCAGCTCGTGATGATCATATCATCTGTAGAGTAGCCGTTTGTGGTCAGCAATTGCTCCAGCTTGACAAACGATTGTATGATATTGTTCTGAGGAATAATAAGATATTAAGTAAATGTGTTTCTTGTGCTCCATGTGTCGTGACTTACGCGTATGGGACGAAAGATTATAAATTCCGTGTCACGATTGCTTAGATAGAGTTGCATCGCTCGCTGGAGCACAGCCAGCTTGGCCTTGATCATCCGCTGCGTCTCCTGAATGATGCTGCTTATCTGCTGTGGACTCGCCCAGGGGCTTTGCCGCAGAACATAGCTGGCCTTTGGCGATGTGGACTCTGGCGCTGAGGCTGTTGTTGCGGCCGCTTGTGCCACCAGACTCTGTGCCTTGTCCAGGAATGTGATTAAGGGGCCGATCAGCATATTCACAGCATCTCTGATGTACTTCTCGCAAACAGTCTTCAGCTGACGGTCCACTTCCTTGCGCGAGTCAAGCAAATGCTCTTTTATCTGTGGTGTGCCCTCGAGCAGGAATTCAAGCAACGCATTGTTGCTGCCCATGGAAAAGAGCTGTTTCCGCTTCTGCAGCAGTCCAAAGGCAGCCGTCTTGACCTTACTAAAGTCCAAAGATGTTTCCTTTACAGTGAAATCGACACGGAATGGCGCAATCTGTTCCCTGAGGATCAGCAGATGTTTGATTTCAAAGAGTTCTCCATCGATGGGCGTCTTGGCAGCTGCAATTTTGCCGCCCGCATACGAGACACTTTGGATGCACAGCTTGAGGGCCTCCTGGGAAAGGCCTTGGAATATGGGTCGATCGACGCAGCGATACAAACGGGAGAGGCAGACTAAAGTGCGGCGAACAGTCGGGTACCACATGCCATGCAAATCCGCAGGGGAATCTGTAAGAATTATTGTGATTTGTTTAACTTGCGCTGCTTTTGTGGTCTCTTCCCGTGATGCATACTCATTTGCTTGATTCTGTAGGAAGTATCGACGCTTTCGGCCACACTCGATGCACTGGAGATAACAGAGACGCGAGAATCGGAACGCCGCAAAGGTGTAGGCTCTTGTAGGGATAACGCAATGCTCTGAAGATGTTAGATATTTAATTATTATATGGTGAAATATATTATAATATATATATTATTATTTTTGATATTTACTTATTAATTGATTAAATATATTATAATATATATATTATTATTATATTATACCTCCATCATTTCCAGCTTCTCGGGATAGGCCAGGTCACCGGATGAAGGATTAAAGTTCTGAATATCCGATTGCAGATACAAATGTGCTCGGAATACCAAACGCTCTTGCACATCCTGCAGCAATTGATGAGCAATGGCGGCAAAGGCTTCCAGGGCGGATGCTTAATGAGAAAAATCAAATTGCTGAAACATCAGTAAATATTAAAAAATAATTTCCGTATTAACATACGATTCTGCTGCACATGCTCTTCAAGCATTTCAATGCGCAATATGGAGCAGATCTCGGCCAGCGTTTCCAGATGATTGATGTGTATGATGAAGGGCCGCAATGTATCATAAAGAATCGTACACAAGCCGTCCAGATAAACGCTGCAAGCAAGTAAAACAACATCATTAATCCAGAATCAATTTAAATTTACAAAAATACTCACGTAAGATGTGGCGCGCCTGTGCTGAAGAACTGGTAAAACAAACGCTGCTCGTCCTGGCACACATGCACCAGAAATCCGCATGCACTTCGTGTCAACGAGCAATGGTCTCCTTTGTGGGCCGTTTTAACATTCTGTATCGAAAGGTTCACCGCCGGCGACATCACACTGGCACGCTGAGCCAAGTAGTGCTGCTGCAGATCGGTCATTAGCTGGACATAGTCGTTGCTATGCTCCAGACGCGTCTCAATTAACTGGACCACGCGTTTAACTTTCGCTGCTGCCGTTTGATATTTCCCATAGTACAAGGCGAAGGCAGCATCGGGGGCTTGCAGTGCGTGGGATGCATCAGCTGCGCTATTCTTGGGACGCAGTGTAGCCTCCGTGGCCTGATTGATGACGCCGGTGACATAGTTTCGCACCAGGCCAGAGGCCTTTGCCAAGCATTGTCTGTACTTGACATTGTAGGTGGCAGCATCTTTAAATTTGGGCTAAAAGGGGGTGCAATATAAGATAAAGATAAACTGATTAAAGATGGGGGCTTAAGACTTACATTCTCCTCTATGTAGTTCAAGCATTCGTCAATTTTATTAAGGCATTCCCGGAACGCTTCGCTGGCCACAGATAGCGTTGGACTTTGCAGTCGCTGATTGAGCAGCTCAACTTGGCTGAAATAATGCAAACGTCGTTGGATTTCGTTGCTCAGATCCTGCAGCTTCTCCTGCTCGTCGATCAACTGTTCGCTGGCCGTGTTCAGGGCGCTCGTCTTTTGCGACACAAACTCGTACTCATCGGACAGGGCGCCCAAGCGATCCATGGCCACCGAGATTTGGCCAAGCATGTGGGAGCATTCCGCTTTGCGCTGCTCCAACTGCTGCAGATATTTGTGATAGACCGCATCGCCACGTTGCTCGATCTCAGCGTTGACGTCCACGAACCAGAGCAGGAAATCGTTGGTGTTCTGAAGGCCCTCAGCAGGCAGTTCTATATCGCCCGTACTCTGTGTGGCAGCCACGCTCGCCTCATCTGATGGCTCTGCTATCGTAGGTGTGGTCACCACTGCCGGCAACTATAAACAAATATCAAGTGATGTTTTTTATCAATTTGTTGGCACCAGCGACAAGAACCTCACCGATGGTCCGGCATCTCGCCACAGATTTGCCAAGACATCCAAATGCTCCTCTTGCTGGACACTGAGCGCCGCCAGGGGATCGGTCTTGGACTCCCATTGCATCAGGCGATTGCGAATTTTCCGTAAATTCTCATTCTCGCTTTGTGCTGTGGCGACGTCATCCATTTTTCTTCGTCGGCGGACTCCTTCAGCTGTTTCAGCTGGCTGCCAACATCGATGTTATTTTCCCAAATATCGATGTTCAGCATCGATGATTCATCGAAACAAATATAAACAAACAAATTGTAGCTGTGCAGCACTGTCTTTGGGTATTGTCAACACTGCGCTGAAACATTTACTGGGAAATTTATTTTCTTTGCGGTTTTTGTTGCATTTTTAGCCACTTTCGCTGGTCATATAGCATAGCCATGGCTCCACAGCCGGTGGTAACGGGATTGTCTCCCAAAGAGGGTCCTCCTGGTACTCGTGTCATCATTCGAGGCGAATTCCTGGGCACCCGAGTGCAAGATCTAATTGGTAGGCGTAGACGGGCAGCAGTAGCAGCTGGGCTTTATCGTAACTTTCGTCTCACTTTGCAGGTCTCAAGATTTGCGGCTCCGACTGCCTGCTATCTGCGGAATGGAAGTCGCCCAACAAAATTATAGCACGCACTGGCCCGGCCAAGGGAAAGGGTGACATCATAGTGACCACCCTGAGCGGTGGAGTGGGAACGTCGACGGTTCAGTTTCGTGCCTATCACGAAACCATCGGACCGCTGAAGGAGTCTGCTGTGTGGATCGAAGAGTCGCCCTCGCAAAACTTTGCCTGGGGGCGACGAACACTTACACAGTCGGGGCTGACGCAGGAGGACCCACTGGGGCTGTCCATCGAGGGCAATGAACAGAAGATACCAGAAGATCTGCGCGACTTGTTTCCCGAGGCCTGTGGCGATCTGTCGCAGGAGCACTTTTCGCCATCGTGGTTCCTGCTCGAAAACCACTTGGCCACATCCTTTGAAGATCTGAAGGCGGGCCTGGCATATCTGAAGCGCAAAGTGGAGAGCCAGAAGGAGGGACAGTTGTCATTCCTCAAATCCAATGCGGGCTCTGTCATCGACCAGCTGGACACGCTGATGAACATACGGGATAAGCTGCAGGAGGATGTCAAGCTGCATGGCACCGAACCGCTAAACATTCTGGAGGCGTCCATAGAGAGTGAGTGGGGAAAGAGAAGTCCTTCCGGCTGGATTCTGATTCGTTCTCCTTGCAGATTCAATTAGCGAGTCGCAGAAGATCTTCACAGATGTCCTGGTGCGCAAGGAGAAGGCAGACTCCACCCGGTCCGTTTTGTTCGCTCTGTCCAGGCACAAGTTTCTGTTCTGCCTGCCCAATGCGGTGGATCGGCGTGCCAAAGCGGGCGAATATGACATTGTGGTGAATGATTACTCACGCGCCAAGAACCTCTTTGGCAAGACGGAGATTCCCATATTCCGCAAGGTGCTGGAGGAGGTCGATCAACGCATTCTTTCCATACGAAAGCAGCTCCACGAGAAGGTGGTCAAGATGCCCCAGAGTGTGGACCAGCAGAAGAAGTTAATCAAAGCCCTGACCAGCCTGGAGCTGCAGCAGAGTGGCACACCCATCGGGGATAAGCTGCGTAACATAGATCCCGCCTGGGATGCCATTGAGGCGCGGGCCAAGTATCTGGAGGCCACTTTCCGGCAGACATTCGAGCAGCATGCCAACAAAGATGCTGGCGGCGGCGGCGTCGGCACGCCCGAGAAGTCCAAGAGTCGGTCAGATCCCAGCCAAGCGCCGAGTCGTGTCAACTTTTGCGAGGAGCTCTGCGACATTGCCGCCTCCCAGTTGCCGGATCTGTGGCGTCTCGGCCAGCTGTACTTCACGGGCGAGCTGCGTGGTCCGCACGATCCAAAGCCTGGAGATTTCAAGAAAATGATTCTCACTGCAATTGAGAAATTCTGCGTGTACCTGCGACTGGCCATCCTCATAGCCGGCGATCAGCGTGCATTGCGCCAGTCCAGCGGCCTCAGCTGGTCCATCGGCACCGCCTCGGCCACACACCAGTTCCTCCCATGGATCCCTCAGTGTCTGCTCTACACGAGGATTGCGTACGCCACCCTAATCGGCCTGGATCTGCCCTCCGATGCGCTGGATATCATTCAGAAACTCATCGACGAGGTGCGCCTCTTCTGCTTCTCGATCATCTTCAAGCGCTCCACCGATCGCTGCAAGAAGCTGGGTAGCCAGGAGACGTGGGAATTGGGTGTCGAAGATTACCCAGGCGCAACGATTCTGCCCGCTGCCCTGGAGGCGCTGCTCGTGGATACCCTGGATGAGGTGCAGACAGTTTGCATGCAGCCAGAGACGCGGGAGGGCAATCTGCTCGAGCCGCAGTCTGATGGACAGCGGGAAGTGTCGCAGCGCCTGCAAGAGTTCCTCTCCACCTTCAGTGCGGTGATTGAGGAGCTCGCGTTTCAGTCGCACGACGAGGAGACGCCCACGCACAATGTCTCGCAGCTGTTGGGCTTCCCCAACTCCCAGCAGCTGGACTCGGTGGCCAGTGGTGGTGCGGCGGTCACCTGGGAGCAGCGTATGCTCTGTTGCCTGGCCAACTATGCCTACTGCAACAAGAGCTTCTTTCCGCACATCGGCGACGTCTTCGTGCGCTACGGCTATCCGCTGCCCACGCTGGCCATTGAGACGTCGCGCTACACGGTGAATCAGCTGTTCACCAACCTGCTGGAGGAGTATGTGGAGCACAAGGGCGATCCGCTGGTGGGCACCATTGAGCCGTCCATGTACCTGGGTCGCTTTCAATGGGACCACGAGATGGAGATTGGCCAGCTGCGCCCGTACGCCCACGAATGCTGCGATAATCTGGTGGGTGTCTACTCGGAGATCTACAGCATCTCGCCAGCCCTGCTGCGTCCCATTCTGGAGTCCATTGTTCAGACCATATCCGAGGAGTTGGCCCGTCTGATGAGCTGCGTGCAGCGCTTCAGTTTTACGGGTGCGATACAGGCACACGTGGACATACGCCTGCTGCGGGATGCCCTCGAGGGCTATGCGAATGAGACAGCCAAGTGAGTGGGAGTCGCCCTGGTTCTGGTTCACATTTTTACCTGCCATTTAATTTATTTTTAACCTGCTGCAGAAACTACTTTATGGAGGCCCTGGAGGCGATCAATCCGCCGCTGAATGGCGAACAGAAGCGCAAGGCAGACGAGATACTCGAGCGGGTAAAGCGGAATATGCGGCTGCAGTTGCTTTGCTTCAGCATCAAGGAGCCCTAGGCAGGAGGCAGGATTCCTACACGCAGCACTCCGCAATCAGCATTCAATGTAGATAGACTTGTGATTCCCCCCCGATTGTTCAGTTGAAATGGGATATAAAATCTTTATTCAATTAATTTGATTATTTTCTAGAGGAAAGTCTGCATCCATTTCGCTTTTTACAACTTAAAATCGAATGTAAAATTGCTGCCTTCCGTTTCGTACTTGTGGGTCAGCTGCTTGACGGCCTGCTCCACATCGATGGTATTGAATTTCTCCTGGACGCGCTGCTTAATGGGATTCTCGATGGCATCCATGATCTGATAGCGCAGCAAATTGGGCACCACATTCACGGCAAACTCCATCACATAGTCCAAGGTGCCGGCGCCATCGCATCTCACTTGAATGTTGCCCATGTCAAACTGCAGATCGACGATCTGCGGCCGCTGGCGGGTGTCCAGCGACTGGCTAACGCCCACAGTGGCGCGTATATGCTGCACCGTAAACTGCACGTGGCCGACGCGAGTCATCATGCCCAGTCCCATCTCCCATTGGCCGGCGCCAGTCACCTGCTGTGTGCCCACCTGGAAGACCAGCGACACCGTCTTGTTGGCCATGGCAGCCGTTATGTTGCCCACACGATAGAAGCTGGAGATGCCGTGGATCCAGGTGTGCGATAGCTGCACACTGAACACGCCCATGGTGCGATTCATGTCCGGCAAATGATACGGATCGTAGCCCATCTGGCGCACCGCCTTACGGCCCTCCGCAATGGCACTGTCCAGGGGCGTGATGGAGTTCGGCAGTCGGCGATCGCCCATGCTCGTTTTGATCATCTTGTCGATCTCGCTGCGCAGCTGCTTGTCGGCCTCCTGCAGCATGAATGGCTTCATGGCATCAAAGACGAGATTGGGCGCCGAGTTGACCATGCCCTGGAACAGGGAGCCCATAAAGCCGAGATTCTGGAAATCCATGGCCATGTCCCTGAAGGTAATGTCAATTTTGATGCGATCTGTGGTTAGATGGCCATCGCGTTCCACCGCCAAATAGGCCGTCGCCTCGGCGTACACATTCTTGAGAATCACCGTGAAGGGTCCCTGGGCGCGTGAGATCCAGCTGGCCAAATTGTACTTGCCCTTGACCAACATCTCGTCCAATTGCACGCCACCCTTCAGCTGTAAAAGTTTTCATTTGTTTTAGGCATTTCCCTCACTGGCAGTCCTTCGACTGGCGCTCACTCACCTTCATTGACTTTAGGTCCGCATCGACAGTGTCTATGCGAAACTTGGACAGGCCGTAGGCCTTCACCTCCTTCATGTCCAGATTGCCAAAGCCCATGTTCTTCTTGACATCGGGCACATCTATGGGATCGGGTATGGGCACGCCGGGCAGGCCCAGCGGATCGGTTTGCTTGAAGTGTTCGAGTACAGCCTCCACCTGCGCAGCCATGCGATTTTGGGTCGCCTCAATGTTGTGCTCTTCATCCGATTCGCCTGCCTCCTGCTCGACGTTAGCTGCAAACGGCATGAACAAAGGTCACAATTGTTGGATGAATGGGGGACACACCGCATCCATCCACTCACCATCGACATCCTGGGACTGCGACTGGGCCTGGGCCTGGGGCTGGCACATCAGCACCAATCCCACGAGCATAAATCCTATCAGTGGCTTCATCTTTTTTTGATTTGCTTGAACTTTTTGCTTATCAGTAGCAGGAAAAAATAAAGCTGAAACGCGCCAGCATTCGTTCACTCGGCAGTCAGTACTCGACTCGACTCGACACCAACACGCACTGAGTGTTAATCAACAGATAATGATGAGCCCCAGTAGCAGGCAGGCAGGCAGGCAGACAGACAGCAGCAGCATCCCCGCTTAGCTTATCTAAGGGCCACGCCACGCTCGGAGCGGCGCTGATTAAACTCTGAATTGAGACTGAGTGAGCTCAAACGAGCACAGAGAGCCGTCCGGAAACGGTCTGGTCTGGCACTTTGACAGCTGCTGCCCCTGACAGAGAGGTTCATCGTACCGCAGTGGACTCCACTCCACTCCACTTCACTCCAAAACTGTTCCCAGTTCCATGCCAAAGACACAAGTTTTGCTTTCATAAATATTTTATATACATATATTTATGTACGTACATATATTATGTATGTATTGTATGGCTTATTTTTTATTAAATAGTTAGTTTCACGTGCTCAAAAAAAATTCATGCTCAAAAAAAGTTTCTTAATCTATAAAAAAAATTGTCTTAAGCTATGAAAAAAAATGTACTTACACTATGAAAAAAAAAATGTACTTACACTATGAAAAAAAATGTACTTAAGCTATGAAAAAAAATTGTTTTTGTTTGTTTGGTTTTTAGGCTAAGAGCAGCCGCACTTGGCGCCAAAGCATTGCAATGTTTTTACCATTCGTTGTTCGTTAAACGAAAAAGAACATTTTCATGATCGACACTCGAAGGGTTAAGGGATATATTAGATTTGTGGATATTGCTTTTGCCAGCGGTAGCGGCTGCCAAAAGATTGCTGTACATACATTATGCAAATTGCGAGCTGGCAGCCTCAAAGAGAGATATAATGAGAGCTCCCTAGGGGCGTACATAGACAGTTATGTTTTGTATGTACATTTTCATCGCTTAATGTTAGAGGACAATTTTGAATAGTATGGCAGGGGAGGGTCAACTATTTTACTCTTTGCATACAATTGAAAAACATTCACAAATTTTAGCAGACACGAAACAAACTGAGGGGACGATTCTGAGAATAAATACATTAAAAAATGTAAAATTAAATAATTAAGAGACGGCAATTTAAAACATTTTAAAAATATCAGGACATGTGAGACAGAACGTGATTGGGACAGGATACATAAAAAGACATATAATCAGGACTATCAGGACATGTGATACACATACAATATGCCCCTTTGGGGGTATCAAAACTAGACTTCACACAGCATACCCCTCGCAACGGGGTATGCAACATACAAATACAAAAAAATAAAAAAAAAAGTGAATCCCGTTTCCCGTTTTTTCTTACAAATCATCAGAACCCGACATGATCTCCTCGAACAGTGAGTGCGCATTGTCAGTGGCCGACAATCTGTCGCCAGCGGCAGAATTGCCAATGGCAGAGGAGCCACCACTGACCAGCTCGTCAATGGTATTGCGTGGCGGAAAGCCACGCAGACGCGCGCTCCTTTTGATGGCTGGCTTGAATTTCTTTGCTGGCTGTTGCTCCTCCATATCGGAAACGGGGGAGGGAGCAGTCTTCGGCCCAGCTGCTGGCGCCGTTGCTGCTGGCGCTGTTGCTGGAGCTGTCGCTGGTGCTGGCGGAGGTGGAGGAGTAGCCGCAGCAGCCACCACTGGCACTGGAGGTGGCATCACATACGCATACTGAGGAATCGTGCTATTGGAGTCATTGTTCTGCAGTTGGACACGCAAAAAGCCAACTGTGGCGGGATCGATCGGTACGCTGCCTTGAAAGATGTTGAAACCTGAAAGACACAGCGAATGGGAGGATTAAAAGCTGTTCGCACTCGTACCTCAATCCACAAACCAAAAACGAACATAAGCTCACCTTGATACTCCCCGTTCTCGTTCTGAACTAAGACCAATGGATGTTGGGACTGTTGCAGATTGCTAAGGGGCACTAAACTTATACCGCCCTGGGCGCCATCCGACGCGGTTGCTGTTGCTGTTGCACCTGCCTGCAGCTGTTTCGGCATTCACCTCCCGTGTTGCTGTTGCTGTTGGCGGCTCCTTTTCGCTCTGAGGATTGCTGAGTGTCGGCAAGTCCTCCTCCAATTCGTCATCGGAATCGAGATAGTCCATCTTATGGGGATTGTGGCAGCCAACGCAGTGACAATTTGTACAGCTGTTGCCCGACTTGTAGCAGGGGCAGCGGGTGTTGCGACAGGTCGTTTTCGGATTAACCGACACACCAGAGGTGCCGCAGCGGCATATGGGCTTGGGTGGCTTATCCTTCGTCTTTGCCACATTCCTACGTGATGCGCCCGTCGCGCTATTGCTGCCTGTCTTGGCGGAGGATTTGGCAGACGTTTTGCTGGTTGCTTTGGCAGTTGCGGGAACAGGTTCAGGCAGAGGAGCAGGCACAGGAGCAGGTTCTGGAACTGCAACGGGAGCAGGGGACGGTGCTTTAGTGGCTTTCTTTTTGATGGGTTTTGCCGGTTCCAGCTCCACGGATGACATGATGGCGGTATTCACTTCCGTGTCTTTGTCCCTGTCCTCCTCGGTGCTGCAGGATGTATTCCCCTGGCTGCAACTCTGTTGTTCTTCCTCTGAGGAGATGGAGACCGTCTCTTCATATGCCGCCTCCTGGCTGGCATTCTCTTGTGGGGCATCCCCCTGGCTGGCATTCTCGTGGCTGGCACTCTCCTGCTGCGAGGCCTCCTGGCTGGAACTCTCTTGGTACAGCTCCTCGCTGACAATCTCTTTGTATATCTCCTCGGTGACGCTCTCTCGCGATGTGTCCTGGCTGGCACTCTCCTCGAATGCATCCTGGCTGACAGTCTCTTGCGATTTCTCTGGGTGGACGATCTCTTCTCTTTCCTCCTGGCTAACAGTCTCCTGGTTTGATGACTCCTCCTGGCGGGCATTCTTCTGACTTACCACCTGGCCAACAATCTCCGGCGATGCCTCCTTCTGGCTGACATTCTCCATCAATGGTTCCTGGCTCACATTCTCCAGATATGCCTCCTCGTGGCTCACATCCTCGAGATATGGCTCCTCCTGGCAGTCACTCTCCGGGGCTGCCGCCTGCTCTGGCTGAGGCTCAAGCTCATCCTCCTGCTCCTCCATTTCCAGCTGGGCCATCTTTCGCTTTTGGGAGTGGTAGAGCTCCACCTCGGCTGTCGTTATGGCCAACAGAGCTGGCTGTGTGGACTCTTCTATTCGCACCACTTGACCAATTTGGAGCTCTTGCGCGGCATGCGCCTCAAATGGTGTGGATGCAGCCGTGGGCTGCATGACATAGGTCATGGCATAGCCCGGTGTGTTGTTGGGGAAGCTGGACATGGAGACGGCATCGGAGAGATCCACCTGCTCGTTCCAGCTGTGCTCCGTGTAGCCGGCTTCGGTGCCCAGGGAGCCGGAGCCTTCGTTCAGAATAAACGCCGGCTGGGCGGCCATCAGACCCATGCGCGACCCTGTCGGCATCAGGGGCAGCGGATGTGAGAAATGTGACTGCTCTGCGGTGGCCGCTGCCTCCAGCTCAATGTCCGTGATGGACAGCTGCTCGGGCAGATTCTGCTCGTACGGCAGCTCGGGCGTTGTGGCCGCCGTCGTGGGCGGCGTCTCTGCGGGCAGCGACAGGGGAAGGGGAGACTTGAGGAAGGGCAGATCTGGCTGTGGCAGAAATGTGTCCCGTATATCATCGTAGTTGGTGCCCTCCCTGATGAACTCCTGCGTGGTCATGGCCGGCAGCCGGATGCGCGGAAACTGCTCCACATGACTCAAGTCGGGAAACAGTCCAGCCAGCTGGGTGAACATCGACGACTGCAGCAGACGCACACAGAGCGTCTTGTAGCAGAGCAACTGTATGGCCATCAGACGATTCTCCTCGTACGTCTTGAAGTCAGAGCAATCCTCGCACTGCCTGCAACGCGACATGAGCCGCTTGCATCCTCTGATGCACAGCCGGCACACATAGTGGTGGCAGCGCTTGCCCTTCGGCGCGTATGGATCCACCAGCAGTTGGCAGCACACCACACACGACAGCAGCTGGCGCAGCTCTCCGATGCCAGAGCTCAGCTCATCCACGCGCCGCTTGGATAGATTTGAGGCCGAGCGAAGGGACAGCCGGACGACCTTCTGGTAAACGACATTTACCGACGTTTGGGCCGTCATTGTTTATAATCCGTCTGTATGTTCGAGTGTGTGTGTGTGTGTGTGTGTGGGACTGTACAAACGCCGGGAATATTTGTTTACCACCACCACCAGCAACCAACTGAGACTCCGCTGGGCCAGCGTCCGCTCAGGTTTCTCCTGCGACTCCTGCCACCATCCGTTTCCTGCTCCTCCTGTTGCCTGCCTGTTCCCTTAATACTAATAATGGACCGTCAATTGCCCAGCAATTTGCTGATGTTGCCTCCAACAACACATGCTCTCACGTTTCGCGTAATCCTCTAATTTTCTTTCACACAAATTTTCTATTCGATTTTCCGTTGCTCGTTGTTTCACTTGGCTGCTGCCGTATATGCTTAAAACTAATTCACGTGCCAAAAAAAAAAAAAAAAAGGTTTATGTTTATATGTTCTTAGAATTAAGTCATTTTGCAATATATCACTTCTAAAAAAATTAAGAAAAAAAATTTACCCCAGCACAACAAACGATGCCGCAGTGTGACCGCGGATGCATCGACAAAATATACCGTCAGAGTCTGACGGTCGGACCCTCAGAAATATACCGAAATATACCATCTCATTTTCAAAATATACCGAAGGAAAAAACGAACTTAACCCACCAAACCCTAAAATACTACAATTTAGAGTTGCGAAGCCATTAAATAATTTAAAACCGATCGGGGCGATTTATAATACATATTTATAACAATAATAGAATATGCAAACATTTACCGCTTCATTTATCTACAATAAAGGTTTATCCCCTTCAATGGCAATAGGTGGATTAGTTTATGGCACTTGTGGAATAATTATCAGGCATAATTTACAATTCCATAATCAATGGAATCAAGTGATTCCAAGATAAGCTGCAAACTCAATTACTTTAACTTAATCGCCTTGTTAGTTAGTTCTTCTTTGATTGCCGAGGCTAGTGCTATTATACATACTCTTCGGCAGCTGATTAAAAGCGAAAATGTTATTCAAGTCCACAGCTCCGGCTCTCGACCAGAGGTCATTGTCGATATTATGCCTGCTGCTTGGTAATGCAATTCGCATTTTGAATTCCACTCATTCGCCCGCCCATTCATATAGTCGATTTTCATTGTTTGTGGCGTCTGCGCTTTGCTTCTGCCATCAGAATCAGATTGAAATAAATACATTTCTGTTTGTCGTGCAGTTCAGTTACAGCAGCAGCAATCGGCGAAAGTGATTGCATACATTCCATTAAACAATTAAATATAATTTTCCCACAAATACACATTCACCCATCCATTGAAGCGCTGCCATTTGTGTCTTGTCTCTGTCTGCGTGTGTGATTGTTGAATCGAAGAAAATAAAAGGTACGAGGGAAACGCATGCTTATCTGTACACCGCTTTGGGCGCGTTTCCCCTTTTCCATTGTTCTGCAATTATTGAATATTTAATTCCAATCGCTTGCCGTTGTTTTGCTTCCATGGAACACCTGAAGCGCTCGTGTCCAAAATCAATGGTGCGACTCTGAATGCCAGCCATTATCAGTACTACCGTGCGGAGGAATTGGAGGGAACACAAGTTTCCCCTGGCATAGTGCTGCTGCAGGATCAGGACATGGGGCGGGGCAAGTCTATAATCAGGGCGGCCAATCTGACCGCCATCCGATGGGCGCATGCGGTGAACAGCCAGCAGTTGCTCGACGAGGCCTTGGCAGGTGAGACTCCACACTGCGGCAGTGTTTTTATTTTTATCATGACATTAGCCACTCTCCAAAGGTGACATTGAGTTCATTGAGGCGGACATTGTGCTGGGCAAGGTGAATGGCGAGGGCGACGATATGCCCGTGATGGCACATCCGCCGGCAAATGTCTCCGACTTGACGCTGCAGGGATTCCTGAATCAGATCAAAGACTTTAACGACCTGCACGTGGGCAACGAGAAGGGAGTCAAGCTGGATTTCAAGTCCATAGAGGTGTTCGAGGGCTCCCTGGGCATTTTGGACGCGACCATACCAAGTGTAAGCTAAGCTCAGGGAACAATATTCAGGGGCAATCAAATGAACTCTTCTTGTGCAGATGTCCTATCCCATTTGGATCAATGCTGACATTATCAGTGGCCCTGTGGACCAGAACAAGAGCGTGCCCGTGGATCCGGATCGGTTCTTTGCCGGCTGCATGCGCTACAAGCAGGCAGTGCTCTCCATCGGCTGGACCACCAACTGGGGTGCCGACTTCCGTGAGGGCGAATACACTCAAGATCAGTGCGACGCCATGGTCGAGTCGCTCAACTTCAACAATGTGCTGTCCACGGGCCAGGGCATCACGTTTCCGGTCCGTGCGGGCATTGCGGCCAACAGCGAGGAGCAACTCCACAAACTGGTCAGCGCTGTCAACGAGACCAATGACAGCACACTGACCATTTGGTCCTCCGACGGTGATTACGTGGATGTGGCCAAGCTGCGCAAACTGATATTCGGCTTTGGCGTGGAGCGTGTCTACTTGGATGTGCCCGAAGAGTTGGCCGCCAGGCTGGATCTGGGCAATGCTGGCAACGGTGCGGGCACCTTCAATTCTCTGGTTAGCTTCAGCTTCATCAGCCTCTGCTTTTATGCCTTTTCCAGTTGGTTACATCGCGGCTAACAAGTGGGCCTAATAGATTAGATTACATATAGATTTTTAGATTTCTGTCACAAGCAATTAATAAAATAAAACGTGTCAATTAAATGAAAACCACAAAGGAAGCTAAGGAGTAAACAATATTAATATTTTGTGTATATGCTTTATGCGAACGGAGGGTACTTCTTCATATCTTCAATTGGTCTAACAATATCCCTTATCAGCGTGACTCGAGTCAAGCAGCAATCATCGCACATTGCGTCCATTTTTGGCATTCTCATGCCCGAGTAGCGATCACAGAACTGAGCTGCTTCTACACATATTTTTTTATTGGATTCTTGGTAGCTTAGTGTCGTCTGCTTGAGCTGCGTCACCAGTTGCAAGCGGCGCAAGCGTTAAAGCGTAGCATAGAAAATGTAAACTACATTTAAGCGTTTTCTTTTTGTTTTATTCTTTTCTTTAAATTCAAAAATGTATCTTAAGGAATTTTTTGGAAATATTTCCTGGGGTTTCACAGCTGAGCTATAGGCTAACTTATGTCCGACTTTACACTGATTTACATATTTACACATATGGTGTGGATATATCCGAAATCTTTCAGCTATTAGGATATGTATGTGTATGTGTGTGTGTGTGTGTGTGTACAAGATAAAAATTAAAAAAAAAAGACTTTCTATCTAGAGGGATCAAAATTGATTGAAATATGTCTTGGGGATCGCCGTGCAGTGATAAAAGTTACCAAGCTCGTAGTATTTCTGTTGCAATTGATTGATCATCAAACATCAATCAATCATTGATATCACACCATCTCTCAAGTTTTATAAAAAACTAGAATATCGTTTTAAAAATTAGAAAAAAAGAATTAACGTTATTATCGGTAGGTATATGTATATACAATATATAAATACTTTGGGATTGCGCAGTGTTTCAACTTCAACAAATTTTTGGGGGCATGTGTGATGATCATGGGGCGGGGGGGGTGCTAGTGCTCTCATTTTATTTACAATTTAATTTAGTTTAGTTTAACCTACTAAAATAGTTAATGACTTTTGTTTGGGTTCTCTGCTTCTCTCTTCTCTTTTCTCTTTTCTTTTTGGCACTAAAATAAATAATCTTATTAATCTCTCTCTGTCTCTCTGTCGCGCGCGCGTGCTGTCCAGCCGTATGCACGTTTAGATATGTTGAGGGAACTCCTAATGCGGATGGGATGTGTAAGTGTATGTGTATGTGTGTTTATGCAGCGCATGTGATGCAATGTGAAGGAAGGGGCCAGCACGTGGGGCTTGGCTAAGGCAAAAATGGCTTTATCATCAGTTTTATACTCTTCTAGGCTACGATAAAATAATGAAAATGAGTCTTGAATCATGCTTGATGGTTAATGGTGGCGGCGGCGGGGCCATCGCCGGGAATGCGCGAGCCGAATCGTTGTATTATCTAACTATCACATCGGGCGACGTTTCACTGATCAGTCGCTCCTCGCTACTGCCATCCTGTTGCTCCTGCATGCCAGAGTCACGCCTGTAGTCCAGCAGACGGACTCCGACCCGTTCGTTGCCGCCCGCGTTCGTGTTGTGGCGGAACAACTGGGACACGGGCACTGTAGCTGCCCCCGTATTCACGCCAAAGGTGGTGAGCGGCCGCAGGACATTCGCCTTGGCCTTGGGATCACCCTGGCAGAACTGTGTCACCTGCCGCGTGGGGTACCAGCAGGTGCAGATGAGACCGCCCGCCAGCAGTATACCAGTGACAATCTGTCCGAGCAGCACAATGAGCGGCACCAGCGCTATATCGGCGGCAATCTCCTCCGTAACGCGTACCCTCTCCTCGCACCACATCATGGGCAGCATTACGCTCGGTACATTATCGTAGATACTGTCAAAATGTAATGCAATTAGTTGAGATAATCATCGGCCATAGATAAGTTTTAATTGATTCATACCTGATGCCCTTGACGGGCTCCATTAAGTAGTTGGCCTGGAAACCGCCGCCCACATCCATGGGCACACCGGCATTCGGCTCCAGCGTCATGTAGAACTCATGCTTCTCCTTCTCTGGCTTTAGGCCCTCCACCGCTTCCAAATAGCTGGGATCGCCCTTGTAGAAATGTGGAAACGACATAAACACCGAGGCATTGAAGGAGCAGGGTCCAATATCGATGACGCCAACGGGCCGGCACTTGCCGCCGACGCAATAGCAGCTGGTGTCCGGATAGAGGGTGCCATTGTCCACGGCATGCTCGGTGCCACTGTATTTGTAGGCGGTTATGCCATGCACAGTCACCGTTTCCGTGTAGTCCAAGGGCACGGCACGACACATTTTCGGCATGTACATGTACACGCTGTCGTTGGTGCTCAAATTGGGTGGAAAGAACTCGCCCATTGAGCCCCTGACCTGACCACAGACGCCCGGAAATGCGCCCGTATGCGTTAGACTATTCCACGTGTAGATTTGTCCCATCTTCGCGATGTCATCGGCACCCGTGAACATGTTTATATCGCCATCGAACTCGGAGCTGCCATTCCTTGGATACTGATAGCCAATGCGGTCATATGGCACATCTCCCGGTCGAATTATCTTGCCCAAACGGATGAACGGATGCTCGAAGCCCCTGAAGAGCCACTCATCGGCGGATCGCGTGATGCTGAGTCGCTGGTCATACACTTTGATGCCCATATTGACACTGAATCTGCCCATCATAGAGTCGGCGGCTCGTTTAGCTGCTGACTGAAGGAGGAGGAGGCATTAGGCATTAGTTTGGGTGCTCAAATTCTTCAATGGATTACTCACATGGGCTACGGAATTCACTTGGGTCACAACATCCGTGAGGCTGCCATTGCTGCCAGCTGCATCAAAGTAGAAGACAGATTTCTTGCGGAAAGACACGGAAGCGTTTTGATTGTGCCATTCAATGTTCACTTTGTCGGGGCTCTCCCGAAACCGATAGGGTCCCAGCTGCTGGAAGTGCGGCTTTTTGCCAGAGCCCACATAAAAGTCCTCCGGATTTGTCCAATTGAAAATGTATACATCAAAATTCAGTGGCAGTGGTGAGATCTTCCAGCCCTCGAAAGAACGTGATGTGGGACTGAGAGCCATTTCCTTTAAGATCACAAGGGGATGGGATCGATGGTTATTGGTTATTGGTTATTCATATAGTAGATTTACATAATTTATTTGCTATAATTGAGTACTGGGCATTGCAATTACGAGATATGTACATCTTAGATTCAATTCATTCAATTCTCGTGGTTTGATTTTTGATTCAATCGAAATTCAAAAAGTTCGATCAAAGTTCATCATAGATCTGGGCAATTGGTCTCCTCTCACGGCCTCCCATAATTGGCATCGAACATTGCCAAGGGAACGGAACACACATTCAAACACTGAAAGGTTTCGTCGTTTCTGGCACAGTCCGTTTCATAACTATACACTCAAGATATGAAGCTGCTGCGAAAGGTGTACAAAACTAATTAACTCTGTCTTTTGGCTTTGATAATAACAACAATTAGACGGTAAGAATAGCTAATAGTTCGTAGGTAATCGAGAAAAATCGCAAGTAATCGAGAAAACTCGTAATTCATCGAGAAAAATCATAACAAAAAATGAGAATCAATCAGTGCTCGTACAGTCCCTGTATAACCAAATTCCTAAAACTCTTAATTCCAATACATTTATTCCTAGTTATATTTCCGCTCAAGATTTGATAGCATTTTTGTTTATGTACATCTTTCCTAGTATCACTTCATATAATAATCGGAGCGATTATGACTAGCCCGAGTACTTGTTCGATCGATTGGTGGAATGAATACGGATTATGAGGAAATAATTAAATATAATTTAATCGCTAGTCGAAGGCATTAGTAGACTGTTGGCTTAACTCTTCAAATAAATAAATAAATAACCCTGAGACTTTGTCCTTGATATATATATATGTATACTCTTGGGGAATCTTTTGTAAATCAAGGGAAGATCTATGATAGTTATGATGATATATGTATATGATCCCGGCAAACATACTACATCGCTATAGGAACTTGTCATCATTTTCATTCGAATTTCATTACAACGAAAAATCGCTTTTGCTCGTTTTATTTCCAGCAAATGTATTCGTTCATTTTGTATAACGAATCAACTACATTATTCGAAGAATGCATTCGAATGATCTCGCTTAATTTGCAAACTGCTCAGATCATACAAAAGGCAGGTGGTTGCATCGGGTCGGGTCGATGGGTGCTTCAGCCAGCTCTTCTTATCAGCCATCAATCATTGTAAGCCCCCAGACATAAAAATCGCTACGGTCGCCATTTTCAGCTATGTCCAGAACTTTATAATCTACGAGTATATAATTGGAAATGCGACTGAAACTACTGGACGGCTGAAATGGAGAGGATTGGCCTACAGGAAATGACTAACTGATAAAAAAATAAATTCGTATTGTGGTTTCTATTTCCCCAAAGAGAGAGATTACATGTCCATGTACATCTATCTATCTATCTAGGTGTCTCGAAGTGGCGGTACTATCATCGCCAAACAGGTGTTCGGTTAAGGGCAGCACACCTGCTGGGCCACCAACACTCCCCCACCCAACAATGTGGGTTACATGTTTAGGTCTGGCACTTTGCTGGGTTTAAGGCTTTTATACCCGGGGCCCCCCCCCCCCCCCCCCCCCGTCCGATTCTCCAGCCCCCCCCCCCCCCCCGGCCCCGTTTATGAATGTTTCGGGGAGGGCGAAGAACGTTGTCTAATCGATAGCCCCATGGCTATCGCTGAATGAGTTATTTTTTTTTGGTTTTTTCCCGCTAGATAAGATATCACTAGTCCGCCGCCACCATCCATTCCCATTCGCATTGCAATTCCGCGACTAAGAACCGCGAATGTATTTTCATGGCAAATGGCAACAATTTCCGGCTGCTCCACAGATCGGCAACATAATGGAGAACTATAGATTATTGACCTCGCAGCTGCCCCATTGTTGTGATTCATAATTTCAGATTCCAGGAGAAAGTTCGATAAGGCCCCACAATCAATCAGTCCGTGACTATTATTAGTCAGTGTTTGTTCCCAAAATGAGTAATATTAAAATCAAAAGAAGAAAGAAGTTAACGGAGAGGCGAGAACGAGAGAGCTAAAAATACAGCATGAGGCGCTTTTTAAACCATTTTATTGCTTTTATTAATAGATGCTCAAAGGTGCGTGTAGAGCTTACAGGATTTCAAGTTTCTTATCAAATAAAAATTACTTGGAATGCTCTTAAAGGGGCTACTACGCGCTTTTCATTTAACTTAGTAAAGTTCCCATTTGCCTTAATAAAGAAAAAACATAAACGTAAAAGCACATGTGATATTCCCTGAATATGTCAAATGTCATCCAACCTAATATGACAGATTCTATCTGTCAGTTTAAGCGCTAATTCTGTTAAAAGTTGAATTCTGTTAATTCTGTTAAAAAATATTAGTACCTTTGAATGTACAAAGACCTGCCTCCGAAGTTTTCAAGTTTTTTTAAAATAAATCAAAAGCCTGTAAGTGATCGAAGGGAAGATCAATATAAGAGCCTCTCTCTCACAGCTAATGACTCAACAGTCGCAGTCATACGCTAATCAGAAATGTATACACAAATATGGGTATACTCTACATCGGTATATAAAATATATATAAGAAATTTACATGCATATGTACATATATACATATGTACATGTGTATACATATGTACACCTAATGGGTTCGCAAACGAAGTTTTTGCAAATGATCGAATGTGTAAGCCGTATCTTATCTGCGGATTGATTTTTATTTTTGAACGAACAGAACACCTGCTTGATGATCAATTTTGGGGCTGTCTTCGACAAAGGCCTTAATTGGTTTCAATCAAATGACAAAGTTCTTTCTGTTGAAACGTTCCGATTTGTATGTAAATGAAGAAAAGTTCTACAAGGTTGAACGGGGGGCCTGACCTTTGAGCGGTTTGCCAATTTGCCAGTTCGCAAAACTTGACTCGCTCGAAGGGAATAAAATGATGAGAATTGGGAGTGGGCATGAGAATGGAAATGGCAGTGGATGTTGATAAGATAGATATGTAGAAGGCAAACACTCACCTTGCCGCGCATGCGTGTAAACATCTCGATCCAATTGCGGAATAGATAAATGCCGCCGGCAATGGAACAGAGCCCCAGCACGATGATGCCCAGACGGGCACAGTGACGCAGATGTGATGTCATATTGTGTTCTTATTGCTCCAATTCCAACTCCAATTCCGATACGTTATGGTGTATTATTATTATTATTGTTCTCCACTCTTACTCCGAACGAAGCCTGCTCCGAACAATCTCTTACGCGGCACTGAGTCCAAGTGGGGAGCCTACCTTCCCTTCCTCTGTGTGGCGTCCGTCGTTGCAATTAACAGAGAGAGAGAGAGAGAGAGAGGGCGAAAATATGAAAAGAGAATATTTGTTAGTACATGCGGGGCTTATCTATATCTATTGGCCTTATCAGCACACGCACACACACCCATATGCACCATACAGGGGCGGCAGCAGGCTCGCCCCCCGATCGCAGGGAGTGGAGAGAGAGCGGGCGCAGAGAAAGAGAGAGAGAGAGAGCACTCCAAACAGTAAAGAAATGTTAATCACGCGCTGTACTGCGATCGTCTACAACTTTGTAGTACTGCTGCGTAATTATGTACATTTTGTGTGTGTCTAATTGTAATAAAATGTTCACTTGGCAGGCGGCACTGGGGTACGTTTTTGTGGTCAAGTCAAACCTCAAAAGTACATACATATGTACATACATACTTATGTACAAATATATACATATGTACATAATGAATTTGTAGAAATCTGATACGAGGGAAAATATAAACTGCGGTCTAAGGGGGGTTGCTTTACAGTTTTGGAACCGGTTCAAAGGCTTCACTCTGAAGTGTTCCGTCAGTTGGTTTTTAATGGAGCACCCCATATAGCAATATCAAGACTCACTCACTTTACTCCATAATATGAATCAAGTGATCCACCTACACCAACTGAAAGTGAGTCAAAACACATGACGCGGCACATATGTATGTAGATACTCCAATAGAGGTGCACAAGCGAAAAGTGTAAAAGAGAATGCCTTAGAATTTTCACAAACAAAATACATCCCTAAAAATTCTGGTACTACAGAAACTTTACCTATTTTTGGGTATTTCGAATTGATGACTTGCTAACATGACTCCGCGGTGTGCCATTTTTTTTTCAAGTATTAGTATTATTCTGTTTCCTGTTTGATGACTCCCATTCATCAAATAAAAAAAATGAATCAACTCCAGATTATCAAGGCAACCATTCTTTGGAAAGTTAATCGACTACATATAGAAATATACCCGCATATAACTAGTAGTACTCATCCATAGCATTGGTATTTTATCCAACATGAGCCCTGCTATGTCACTGTTAAGTACATACCACTGCATTAACAGGAGTAGTGTGTACCGTTTCATGAATCAACTTGATATCATTTTCTGCTGCCATTTATGCTTATCTATTCTTAATTTTTAAAGCTACACACATACACACATATAAATGGCTAAACGTATGTTACATACATGCAAAGACAATTAGCTCAGCATAATCACTCATCGTTAACATTCGTCTGTTAGAATTGTGAGACGCGCACATGACGACCCTGCTATGTACCACTATGCCACTGATGTAAATGTTGTTCTAGATACCGACGACACATTAGATACAGCGCGCCTTGAAAACTTTTGCCGTTTGATGAGTTCCCGTTTTGTGACTCCAATTTTTATAAATTTCTCGAGTTTGCTAAAACTCCAGTTACCACCGCGACTGCGACTGTCTGCCCGTCACCTTTTCCATACCCTGGCACAACCATAAATGAATGTTGCGTGATTACTGCGCAAGGGTCGGGTCTGTGGTTGGGGGAACTGTTTACACTTCTTGGAGCTGCTGGTTGTCCATGGCAACCGTCGATGGAAGCGATTAGCACGAGGTATATTATGTAGAAGGTGAGGCAGTCCAGGCCAAACTCTGCATCTTTCGGATGTATGGATGCTGATTTATACATACGTAGATTTCCAAAACATCTGGATTATCTTTATGTGAAAGCACACACGTGCATGCATATTTATGTACATATGTACATATGTATGTATATGCTTCATTATGTTGACGCTGTTGCGCCAGCCTTTCAATTAATATACCTTGCACCTGGTTATGACTGAGCCCACGCTATTGAGTTGACTTAGGCCTTAGCAATGTATTATTACTTCCATTGGTAATATTTTAACAGTTTCAATGCAAAACCACTCACACCCTGGCACGTACATACGATACGAATTATTTTGTTATTAATGCACACGTAGCGAGGTTGAACATTGTCGAACAACAAAAAGCGTTGGGGGGAAACTCGTTTACGTTTACGCGGTTTTCCCTCACCTACGCCCTGTTTTTTTTGTTATCTCCCAAAACACACATACACACACACACGCCACGCCTCACAGTCTCTGCACTTGCGCTCTTTTAACTCCAGCGATGGAGATTATGGACATTTCTCGCTCCGACTCATTTCACATAGTGCCAATTTATTTGGCCAAACATTAATCACACGAATTAGCACTGGCGTGTCGTGGTCTGGGTCTGGGCAATTGTTACACTCATCACAATTATTTGAGAACATTAGCAATATCCTTGAACCATACCCGTCACTTCCGCAACCTGTTGACAATTTTTGCCTATTTGCGCTGCACTCTTTGCTCTTGTGGCCTAAAAATAGACACAGCTATGTGCCAAAAAGAAGCGAAAAAAAACAAAAACAACCAAAAATGTCCCAAACTGTATGCTGCTTGGGTAATTTACATTCTGTTAACTCACTCGGTGCCGCGCGATGCGTCAGAATAATGGAATGCTGGGCCAGAAGGCAAAAACTCCACAAAATACAACAACAATTATGTTTATTTAATAATTTTTATCTGAAAATGAAGCAGAGTAACGACAGTCAACAAAAGCGCGGCACGTTTAACTCTCTTGCGTCTGCGTCTCACTCTCTCTTCCATAAAATGCGTTGGGAATTTTTCATATTTATCTTACATTTTCTGTTGTTTGTAGATCTTCGTTGCTCCTCTAACACTTGGCGTTCTTCCTATGCGCTGCGCTGTCTTTTTTTTACAATTCCACTTTATTTGCAAATTTATTCCAATCACTTGTTTTATTTTGCTTCACTTCGATGACAGATTTTTCTTTGGTTTTAATACTTTTTAATTGATATGAATTTCTAATTGCAATTGTTGTGTAAATATGCAGGCGACGCGAGTTGTCTAAAAACGCTATATTTGCTCGCGGTCTTTGGGATTTATTTTCTTCTTCTTATTTCTCTCTGGTCTTGCTAGTTGCCATCTCACTTGCACTTGCACATACATGTGTACATATGTATTTAATCAGCAACGCACCGTTAAGTCAACGCTCTGATCTTGAACGAACACGTCTCGACCGGTGTGTATTTGTCTGTGTTCTGTGCGGCGCTGCGCCTGCTCTGCGACTAAATTAAGTATTGTTCAAAAGTCGCCAAGCAACCAGCAATTATTTATTCTTCATTAAAAACCTATGGCGAGTCGGCTGGCCTGACTTTTGTATGCTCTATTTCGTTTCGAAGCGGCACCTGTCGGCAAAACGTTGAAATGAAACAATAGGTATATTTTATTTTTTTTAAATTTCAATTTATATTAATAAAGACACTCCGTGTTGAAACTCTTGTTGATTGCCTAAAACCAATGTGCTCACACTGTAGGGTGTCCACACAACGTGCTCTCACTCTCTGACTCTAAATGGCGCGCGAGAGAGAGAGAGAGTATAAATACTTATGCTCTGCATACTACCACTACTTATATGAAGACACATACATATGTATATGATATTATGCAGCGACTCTCTATTTTGTGGTACCGAAACGGTTATGAACCGGTTCAGTGTTCAAATTGAAATTTAAAGCCGAAAAGAAGGTGTTATAAATATCATTTCCACACTTTTTATCAGTAATGAGTTGGTTGCTTTTACTGTTGTTTTATTGCATGATTCAGTATGACAAGGAATGATATTGTACGTAGGGCGGGCGTTTTTCTTGCTGCTACAAATACTTTGGCAATCCACAGCTCCATCCATCCATCCACCGCAGTGGCCAATCCATCCAATACGATACCTTTAAAGCATCGATTCATTGAAGACCCTTTAACATTTATTAACTTAGACTGTAGACTAGGCAAGACAGACCCGAAAACCGTATCCCTATCACATGACATACTCGTACACCTAGTGTTAACAGATAGAGTTGGAGGACCTCCATTCAGCTTGGACTCGTCCTCGCTCCCTCCTTGATGGCGGCGGGCACATATTGGAGACCGATCAGCAGCGGTGACTCTTCCAACCCCTTCATCTGTTCTGGGGCGGTGCGAGTGTCCATTGTATTGATTTCGATCTTCTGCATGAGATGCTTCTTCCAGAGCATCTGTCGCGGATACCACAATAGCATTAGCAGCCCCAGTGCCACGCCCACGCAGCCGCCTACCTTTCCCACAATCTCCATGATTGGCATTAGCTTGACGTAGCTCAACAGATCGGGTGTGATGCGCACATGATAGTCCGCCCAGATGAGGGGAAAAAATGTACGACGCGATTTGCGATAGATTCTGAAAATATAATCAGTGTTATTCACCCAACAGTTCAATGGAATTCCATTTACTTACCCTGAGGGTTGTGGGTCTACAAGGAGACTGGCCATTATGCGTGCCTTTATCTCCAGAGTCATGCCCGTCTTCGGCTCCAGAATGACAACCAATTCATGGCGATCCTTGTCTGGTTTCATGCCATCCACTTGATCTACATAGTACGGATCGGCCTGATAGAAATGCGGATAGGAGGCAAAGACGGGCGCTCCGTACCAGCAGGAGGAGATGTTCAACAAGCCTGATCTCACCTCACGACAGTTCTCCTGGCAGTAGCAACTATTTTGAGGATTATCAGTGCCTGGAAACAGCATCAATCAGCCAATTCGTTCCGATTTCGATTGAGTATTTATTTTTGTTTACCATTGGCCATGTTCCGGGCACTGCCCCTGTAGACATATGCTTGTACGCCCTCGAAGACTGTGGTGCCAGCGTAGTCCACCTCCAGTTCGCGGCAAAGGTCGGGCAGGAAATAGGAGATATTTCTGCCTTTCACTAACGGTATCGGATGGAACTCCCCAGCACTGCCTTTCAGTCGGCATCTGGGACTAGAGGCAGTGACATTGTTGTATCGCCAACGGGCGATCTGACCCAATTTATCAAAGTCCTGGCGTCCCGTGTGGACATTGTGATGGCCATAGATCTCCATGCTGCCATTGCGCTGCAAGGAAATGCGGGAAATAAGTTATATAAAACCCAGTAAAGAAATGTGATTCCATCCTACCGGATAGGCATAGCCAATCTTCTCGTAGGGAAAATTCAATTCCGGCATCAAATTGGTGGGCACCATTTTGCTCATCTTGAGCAGCGCCGTGTCAAAGCCATCGAACATCCAGTCACCTGCCGGACGCACCATGGTCGTCTCCTTGCCGTACAGATTCAGCATCATCAGCATGACTGTCCGCAGCATGGGGCTCCAGCTCAGCATTTTTTGGTAAATGCCAACAATCAGCAAATTGGGAGCCACCATGGGATCCGTGAGGCGTCCGGCACTGGCCGCCTCATCGAAATCGAAGCGACTGCGTCGCATGTACGAAACCGTAGAGTTCTCCTCGTGCCAGACCACATTCAGTTTTTGCATCGTTTCCTTGAACCTGTACGGGCCGAACTCTTCGAATCGGGGCTTCACTTTTGGATCATTGATATGCTCCGAGTTGGTCCAATTGAACATATACAGATCCACATTGAGGTCCATCGAGGGAGACTCCCACAGATTCGTGATCAGGGCATTTGGCCTCAAGACCATGAACCGCTCCAAGACCCAACGCTCTATACGCTCCAGATGCAGAACCGAGAACAGGCTGAAGCTAAACAGCAGCAGACCCACGACACTCGTTCTCAGAACGCGCCGTTTTCCGATCATGATGATGATGCCTTGTCGTAACGGATATTGCTCTGAAATGTTAGACAAGTTCTAGATTTATTAAAGTTATAGCCAAGACAAATGCTACGCTTAACTAGTTTCCCCCTCCTCTGTGGATTATTCCGTGTTCAATCGTTTATATCGACACACGAGCGACCTCTGATTATGCATACTAATGGCTCTGTTTGCACCTACGAAACGCTTTTCCAAGTGATCACATTGCGTTTTGGTTATTAGTTATTAAAATTCTAATTTGCCTTTAATTTGCTTATTGATTTATAGCAAAAAACTTGATTAGCTTTCAATATAAGAGATATTTTCTAATAACAAAACAAAATATATACTTTAATGAAAACAACCAATTTCCATACGCGTACTTTGATTTACAATCCTACCATTTTGGCTTTAAAGAATTTCCAAGAGATGTTTCTTATCTATTTCTAAAGAAAATAGTCCACGTTGCTTTCACATTATTAAAACAATTTTAATTGTATATTTTAGCTGTAGTATTAAAATATTAATTGAAGGACCTAACGACTATAAAGCATAATTTATGTGCGGGAAAAAATTATTTGCTCTGGTTAATTTTTTATAACTCTATATACCATACAGGAAAATTAAAAAATTGTAGAAGTGGATAATCTTTGATACAAAATGAATTGTTTGAAAACAAAATCAATTTTCTTTCTAATTTACTTCAAGTTAACAACTCATTTATATTTAATCGTTAAATGATCAATATTTCTGCAGATCTTTGTTTGTATTTCCAGTTTTTACTACACACTCATTTGCTCAAGCAAAACCAACATTTTCAAGCTCTTATTCGGCTACGTTTCATATCCTTTGATTTTTGTATATGACTTTTCTTTTATAATAATTTTTTAAACTCACTTAACGGTCACTCGCGGTCTTTGCACTACAGTGCCAGCGATGCCAGCGATGCTCAGGCAGATGAATCAGCCAATGATGATGTTTGTGGTTCCCGATGTGGGGCTGGCCTGGCTGATGGGTTCAACTTCCTACTACTGTCTGTTTGCCTGAGGCTGAGGCCGAGTCCAAGTCCACACCTCCAGAGGTGGAGGTTATCATCCAGCGTTGATAATGCAAATTGTAGTAGCCAGAGCAGACTCTGATTTCCTATATGTCTGCAGATCTGTATTTATATATACCAATAATTCTTTGCTTGAGTGCTGGAATGTTGTGGAGTGTTTTATGATTTTTCTTCGGCTCTTAAAAAGGTTGCAATCGAACCGCCTCGAGCGACGACTTGATAACGACTGAGTCTGGCGGTTGGAAAATAATTTTAAAACGAGAATCCAGACATGTAAGTACTATACACATAAGGAACGGCGGGAAAAATAAACATAAATGATACTTGTACTGTGCCTAAAACACAGAAAACATTAAACACTGGCACCGAAAGAAATCAAACTTGTAGGCTTCCCACAGATCGTCTGAAGTTAATAGTTTAGTTAAGGTCTAGACTCTAGACAGCCGCCGCTCGCGGTGTCACATGGGGGGCACGTCAATGTTCTAATTAAAATACAAATTTTCACATTAATTTCTCACAGTGTACTGCGTACGACTTCTTTTAATCGGTTTGAACTTAGAACTTCATGTAGTGAGTAGCTTTAGTCGCAATTAGGCCCCATATTCTGGAGGTTATCTTTTAACGATACGTTCTCTGCCTCTCCCCGAAACTGGAGCTGAGCACTGAGCTGGCAGCCACATTGCCTCCAGCCGAGTGGCATTATCAATTAAACTCTAACCTGGCCAGCGGCCAGCCAGAGCCCGCTCTTCGATTTGGGATCGAAATCTCCAATCTCGATTTCTGGCGACTTGTTTGTTGAATGGGTTTTGGGTTGCGTTGCTCACCCATTGATAAGCCCTGACCAGACCCCAATTCCTAATCGCTTCTGCTCCCAATTGTAGATGGCGCGTTGCGATTACAAGTTATGTGTAGCAATGCATTCGTAAAGGGCCACCAGAGAGCGATCTGTTTGCCAGCTTGAGAATTTTGACAGCGCAAAGAAAGTGCTGACGATAAAGGAAAAAGCGGTTCAATCGTTTCAAGATCATTCGAAGATTGTATACCTATTAAAAGTCATAACAAGCATATATTAGTCATAAATCAATGTCACATTTATGACAAGTTCAGTGGAGATTGTATTGTGCAGCTCCCAGGGGATCGTTCATAGTTGTAGTTCAGCGGTCGGCACGCACACATTTACATGTTTTGCAGGCTAAATGGAACATTGTATTGCTGGCAACCACTGCAATAGGCTTTTCACACTGGTCGCGTTTCCTATCGATATAGGAATAGATGCATTGAAGCAGAAAAGGCGTTCACATTGGCAGAAGTGCGTCCTGAATTTTGATTTGGGTGCTTGGGTGACAAGGAAAGTAAACAAATTTTGGGAAATCAACAGAATTATGCAAGACGACAAGTGAATGGACGAAAGAGAATTGATTCTCATATTTATTTATTATTTTCAGACACCTCATTGTAGAGACAAGCATCAGAGAGCGTCTCCGGCAAGACGCACAGAAGCATGACGCAGCCCCAGTGTAAACAGCCTATAATACACAGCAGCCTCTTTTCCTATACCCAATAGATAGGGCTGTGCCGAACCCTGATGTAGTTGTTAGAGTAGTTTATTTATTTATTTATTGTATATATGGAATATTTATGGATGACAAACACAAAAGACAAGCATGATTAAAGTTCAGTTTAAAACGTCTTAATCGATCTCTGGGACTAATACCTGACTCTTGCAGGGTATCAGGCAAACACATACGTTACACATTTCGCAATTATTTCAGTCTTGAATCAATTGTCGCCTTATCAACACACACACACGCACACACACACACACACACCTTGGGCACAGGGTTAGGCACAACAATGAATGATCGCCGCTAATGGTTGGGGTTGATGGGGTTGGGGTTGGTGGGGATCATCTCGCAAAGCTGAACTTGAGCACCCCAGCAGTGTGATCCAGGCTATTTGGTAGCTGTTTGCAATCGATTTTGATGTGTTTCTCATTGTCCAGTAGACGGGGACTCTCCATAATTTCGGTTTTAATATCACTCTTGCGTATCCACAGCTCCAGGGGCTGGGCGCGCCAACGCTGTTTGCTGACAATGGCCAGACAGCTCCAGACAAACGCATCGCCATGGCAGCGCGTGCGGGTGATGTCCAGGATACGCAGCTGGCGACAGTGGGTGACAAATCCAAGCAGAGCCAAGGGACTCTCCAGCTGGTAGCCGCACAGGTGCAGTTCTGTGAGCTCTGGTAGTGTGGTGGAGAGCTGACGCAGCATTTGGTCGCCGAGGCACTGCAGCTGGCCCTCCTCTTCTCCACCGTGGCCGTGCAGCTCCAATCTCCTTAGATTGCGCAGATTGGCGAGCTCCCTGAAGAAGCGCTCGTAGTCGTGCAGTATGCCGCTGAAGCGGAAGCCCTCGATTAGCCGGGATCCGCCCGTGGGATAGCTGGGACGCGCTATGCGCGACAGCACATCGAAGACAAAGTTCTTGGAGTAGATGGAGAGCTTGTTGAGGCATGGCAGCTGCAACAGCTGCTGCGTAATGTCCGACTCCATGCACAGGTGGTAGTCGGCAATTTTGATGTGCTCCAGCGTGGGGCACAGCTGCAGATCGACCAGATCGCAGCAGTTGACCTCATCGCAGTCCTCCATAATGTCAAATTTGCGTAATTTCAGCTGTCGAAAGAGATCCCGAAAGTGCTGCGACTCCAGGTACTGGCAGTCGTCCAGGCACAGCTCATTGAGCAGCTCCAAGTCGCACAGATACTTTCCAGTTATTTGGCATCCACGAAGTTTGAGTTTTCGCAGCGAGGGGAACACACGCCGCAACAGGCGCACATCCTCGTCCACAAAGCGGGCGCGACCACGGCGATGGCCATCGCCCAGCCACTCCAGGCTGGTCACCCCGGACAGTGTGTGGCTGCTCAACAGGCGAAGTCGCCTCACATCCAGCTGCTGGCAGCTCAAACGCTGCATATGCGGTGCCAGCTTCAGCACAAACGACAGGAACTGACGCGCATTGGGGCTGGAGGGCTTGAACATATCATCGTGCAGCGCCACATTCCTCACTCGTGTCCGCCACAGCATTTGCACGATGTTCTCCAGGCGACGATGCAGCCTACCCAGCTCGTATTGTTGGTAGACATTCAGGTGCCATATGATTAGGGCCAGGACATCATCGTTCAGCTGCATCAGGGAGGCAGAGCCAGGTGTGGGTGTGGGTGTGGTTGCTGCTGCAGGGGATACATGGGGGGAGGGCAGTGTGGGGGTTAATGGCTGTTTTATATCCTTTCAAGGTTATTTGATTTTATTTGGTTTTTGCAACTGCTGCTGCTACTGCGCTGCTGCTGTTGCTTACCTGTTTCCGTTGCTGTTGTCGTCGTCATTGTTGCGCTCTTCTGCACGGGCTCAGGGCATTTTCAAAACTGAAATTACGACGTTGCCATGGCCAGATGATCGCCTGCGCTCTGCTCTACCCAAAAACAGCAGGCACGGTCCGAAAATCCGTTTAGGGGTGGTTTACCAAACGGGCGGAGAATTCGCTACCTACCTACATAAATTACTTTTTGCCTTTTTGGGAGATGGCAAACCCATGCGATAGTTGCACGAATATCGCCACAGCTGCGGCACCTACTGAATGGATTGGGTGTGTAATTAAATTGGTGTTAATTTTCGACTTGCGCTGAAATCTGTGCTACAAAAATGGTATAAAATGCATTTTATATAAAAGAAACTGTCTTCTATTTAGGTTTGACTCATTTAAGCTTTATACGTGTATGGAAATGCAGCACAAACTGCAAAAATATTATTCCTTCAATTAAATGTTTCGAATTCCGTAAGAAAGCGAATTCCGAAGGAGGATTTCTGTGAATTTTCTGTGAATTTATGCAGTGCAATAGTTCTATGCTAACATTAAAAACTCTAATGCTATGAATATATTTCCATAAAGATACGAAACACTTGCAGATTATATATTCCCATAAAATGCAAACCGATTGTTCCTACGGCAGCTGTCAGCTGGCTTAAGCAACATTAAATCTGTAAAGTTTGGTTGCATTAACTTTGAACACCATAAATAAAGATAATCTCCAAAATATATTGCTTAAGTACCCAGGATTTCTATCGCAGGCATTCCAAGCCGTGTAAGGGTTTTATTGCGGCAATAATAAACAACAGGTGGTCGGTCGATGGTCTTTGCAGTTGAGTTGCCTTTTCCTGCCTTCTCAATATGCGATGTAAATGTAAATAAGAAAATATGAGAACCCTGTATTCTATGATTGAATGCATTTCCATGGCAGTTATATTTACTATTTACACGTGTATATATTCTGAATTGACTGAAAGATTTTATATGTATATCTTTCAAAACTCAATTAATCGGCTGCTGTTGATGATGAGGAATAGAAATTGGACTGCAAAATTTGAATACCCCGTGCACTGGATCACCGTAGGCTGATTGTCCCATAAAAGGGCCACTTCCAGTTCAACCATGACTACTGTCGGCCCTCCTCTCGAAACGGATGCTGAAAATTTAAATTTCTTTATTTTTAATAATTTTTTTGTTGCTTTTGTTGTCGTTTTTTTTTTTTGTATGCTTATGCTGCGCGTTGTTTGCTGCTTTTTTTATTTGTTTTTGTTTAGTGCTTACTACGTCATCAATTTTAATTACATTTTACTCGTAACTTGTACAATATATATTCTATATATAATATATATGCATTTCATTTGTTATCCAATTTCTGTCGTATAGGCATATGTTGTTAGGTATATATAGTGTTGTATTGTATCTGATTTATAGTACATTATTGTTTCTATTTAGTATTGTTACTGGTTTGTTTGTTGCTTCTAAATTGTATGTTAATTTATGGGGGTCGGGTCATTTCCAAGCGTATGCTTTTTCTCTCTCTTCTCAAATCTTCTTCCCCAGTCTCACGACTCCCGCTGCTGCGTTTAGGAAACAAGTACAGCACTTTTCTTTCGGTTAATTGTTAATAATCAATATGTTCGAGTGTTTGTTAATGTGTGAGTGTGTGGGTTTTTGGGCGTTTGATTGGGGATAGAGAGGCATACTGTTTATTACTATTCTCACGTTTATTCACTACGCAACTTACAAATAAATGTTAATGTTTTCCATTTGATTCGTTTTAAATATTGCCACACAATCGAATTTCTTCTGGTTAAAATTAAAATTGCCTTCGCATGCCTACACGTTATATCATTAGTTAATAATCGTACAATATATATATATATATTAATGTATATATATATACTCTATATGCATTCTATATACTGCGCTCTATACACATCACCAGAAATTCAAAAAACACCAAAAACTAACACGCATAAACGACTACATAAATATATGTATGTACGAGTGTTGCTGTGTGGCTGTGTATGCTGTGTGTGTGGGGTGGTTTTATACTATAGCCAAAATCATGATATTCCAAAATTGACAAATTTAAATCAATTCAAATAAGAAGTCTCGCACTAGAAACTTAGCTTAAAACAATTTTTTGCATACGATGAAATGATTTCTTAATTTTGTTTGTTAATTACAATTTTCAATTGTTCCCTGCATTCTTAGTGTATTTAAAAAACTCTCACTTTGCTGTCTGTCGATATTCGGTATTTTAAATTATTATTAAATAAAATAAATGAATTAAATAAAACGAACTTGTGTCTTTAAATGTCGTCAAACAAACAGTTTTAGATTTGCCGTTTATTTGTGGTACAATTACAGATTTTGTTAAATTATATTATAATTGTATTTCAAGCATTTAATCCATTATAAAAAATTAAATGTATAAAATGTTGCATTTAAAAGGAAGCATAATGTGTGTGTGTGTCGGTTGTTTCTTCTTTAAATAATTAAAATGTTGACTCATCTTTAATAATAGTTTTTGTATTTGTATATTTTTTTTTTTTAGTTTTTTCATATGGTTGTTTTTTTTTTGTTTGTTTAGTTTTTGTAAAATTTAAAGCAGATATGTTGTTTTGCTTGTGGCGCTTGGGGCGTTTCTCCATTATCGTTTCAAATTGTTCTTGTTGTGTGGTTTGTTGTTGTTTTTCAACTGTTTTTCAACATAAGCACAGTTTATAGGGGGGGATTATAATTAATTATAAATTTTAGAGTTGTGCCTAGTCGTCCATATATACCTATATATATATATGTATGTATGGGGGGGTTGGTTTGGGGTTTTTTTTTCTTTCGGGGCTTGTGGCTGTGGTTTTTTTTTTGTTTGTTAACTTTAATAGTGGGGTAATAACTTGTTGTTGTTATAGGTTTTAGTATTCATATATCATAATCGTAATTGTAATCGTAATTTTAATCATAATGATAGCGGGCGGCACACGCCCAACTAAAATCTATTCCGATCTCCAGATCCTTCGATCCTCCGATCATCCGCGCTGTCATCGTAATCAATCTTATCATTTATTCATCCTACCGCCTCCTCGTTCAATTATTACTTTTAGTAGTTCAACTAACATTAAATATAATAATTTGTTGATTTCCTTATTCTTTTCTCATTCTCTCGTTAGTTTTTGTTGCTTTTGACTTATACCTAGACTTTTCTTCCATCATATTTTCTGTATATATGTGTATTATCGTACGCTCAATATGCGTCATCATCATCATACAAATCATCAGCAGAAGCTTATCAGCAGATGATATTAAAAACTGGGTTTTAGGGCCACCCACCGCACATCCACTGCGGGGTGTGTGTGTGTGTGTGTTAATAATATATATGTGTATGTGTATATATGTATATATACGATGAAAGTATGTATGTTTCCATAATATGATTCTGTCTGTTCGCCTTGGAAAATGCAAAACTAATACATGTGTGATTGTAGATTTTTCGATAGATTTCCAAGGACTCTTTCTTTCTGTTGCGTGTCGTGGTGTTATTTACAAACTATAATTTATACATATGATAATTCTATGTATAGTATGTGTGTGTATCTGCCATATGGGGGTTACGTTTGATGAGGATGCTTCTATGAATGTCGCTCTCTATATATGAATATAATCATAACTTAGTCGAAACACAATATAAAATACACGATGAGGCGCGCGCGCGCTCGCTCCTGCTGCTGCTCGCTGGTTACACACACACAATCTCCAGGTGAAAAGGGTTTCACAAATTGTGGAAAAAGAAGTGAAGTTCGATCGTTAGATTTAGCACAGCTAAATGGAAAGAAATCCCTCTCCCAATACCAAATACCACCATCCATCCTGATCCCCATATCCAGCAATTCCGCCGCCTTGCACACATTTCAGAAATGTTGAAAACACGTGGAATTAAATGGACGCTAAGCGCCCAAAAGCATTAAAGATACACAGTGAGAGAGAGAGACCGAGTGGCGAGAACAAACTATGAGATGATTCGTATTGCACGTTAAAGCTGGCGGCGGATGCAGACGGAGCTGAGGACGGACGGACGTATTTAAAATGGGATTTTCGGGAGGTAAAGTTAGAGACGGAAGTGAGATGGAAGACTGCCTGCGGGAATACAGAGTACAGCAACCTGTTGCTCTGTTATCCTCGCGTACGCGTAACCAGCGCGCTATTAAAAACTATTGTATAACTAGCTGCTTATATGGGGGAGATGTGGGGGGTCGTGTTTGCTTGCTTCAGCGCTCTCACCACGCCGCCGTCGACGTTGTGGTTAGTGTGGAGGTGGTGGTGCTGCTGCTGCTGGTACTGTGGGTACTACTGTGGGCTGTGGTGGGTGCATAGCCGTGCAGGAGGGGGGGCTACTGTTAGTAAACCACCGGATGCTGTTCGACATTGGCCGGCAAATGCTGCAGCTGCATGGCAGCACGTGCCAGGGCACTGGGATCGCTGATCAATGCGATGGGCACCTGTGGCGGTGGCTGTTGCTGCTGTTGCGGCGGTGGGGGCGCCTGCGGGTGTCCCTGCTGCTGCTGCTGATGGTGTTGCTGCTGCTGCTGTTGATGCTGCTGACGATGCTGCTCCTGCTGCTGATGGTGATGGGCAGCCTGCTGAATTGATAGCTGCAGCAATTGCTGCTGCTGTTGCAGCTGCTGCTGCTGTTGCTGATGGGCGGCCACCGCCTGCTGCTGATGCTGTGCCGCCACCTGTTGCTGATGCTGCTGGTGTGCCGCCGCTGCCGCCTGCTGCTGGGCTGCCTGCTGCTGTTGGGCAGCCGCTGCCGCTGCAGCTTGCTGTTGAGCGGCCTGCTGCTTTTGCGATTGCTGCTGGGCGGCAGCGTTATGCGAAATCAGCGTCGATGTGACCAACGGCACCAGACCCGGCGTCAGTTGGACCGCACCCGCTCCGCCGGCAGCACCGGCCGTTATCTGCTGGATGGTGTGCATCGTGGTGGTGGCCGAGTGGTGGGGAACTGAAACGGTAGGAAAACCGAATAAGTTGGGCACATTGGGACCTTGCGCTAGCGCAGTCGTGTATGCCGACTCACTTATGATCGGTTTCACTTCCTGCTTGACTTGCGTCAGCACACCAGCCGGTATTTGCGGATGCGGATGCACGGGTGGTGGCGGCATCATAGCATCCGGGTGATTCATCTTCATGTGGCGCTTCAAATTGCCGCGCTCGACGAAAGCCTTGCTGCACAGAGTGCACGCGTGCGGTTTCTCGCCCGAATGGGAGCGCATGTGCGAGACCAAGTGACCTGCGAAACGGACAATGGAAGCGACATGAAGATCTGTGATCTGCGAGGATCATGAATTTCGAAAACGGCTATTGGGCTCTCGTTTTATTCATTTTTTCATTTTTCTTTTTTTCATTTTTGGTTTACTGTTTTCTGTGTTATGATTACTGCAGCCGGGGGATCGCCTCCACAGCGCTGCAACAGGGGGAGATGGAGATGCACGTCGTCGTCGTCGGTCTCGATCTCAACCCTTCGGAACTGTGGAAACGATCCCCACCACTGGCCACTGGCCACTGCCTTGGTTTGGTTTCTTTTTTATTGTTTTCTTTTTTTTTTTTTGTGACGGGGGATATGTGGTAGGTGGGGGGACACGGGACTTGGGCAGGGCTGTGGCCTGTACGGCTGGAGGGGGTGGGGTGGGGTGGGTTGAGGGCTGGGACACTATGCTGACGCCACGTCTCGCGTGCTCACACACACACACACACACACACACGTTGTGTTGTGCGCACCACACTCACCTTTGCAGATAAAGTTCTTGGGGCACTTCTCGCAGGAGAACGGACGCTCCATCTCCTGGCCCTTGGTGTGGCTGCGCTGATGGAAGAGCAGGTTGCCCTTGAGGGGGAACGACTTGCCGCATGTCTCGCAGGTGAAGGGTCGATCGCCGGTGTGACAGCGCGACATGTGATTGATCAGATGCTCCTTGCGGGTGAACGGCTTGTTGCAAACGTTGCAGCAATGCGGATTGTCGCTAGAATGCTGGCGCATATGGTTGTTCAGGTGCTCCTTCCGCGTGAACGTCTTCTGGCAGTACTCGCACTTGTGCGGCGAGTCGCCCGTATGCAGTCGCACATGATTCGTCAGGTGCTCCTTGCGCGTGAAGGTCTTCTTGCAGTAGGAGCAACGGTGCGGTGAGTCGCCCGTATGCTGGCGCACATGGTTCGTTAGGTGCTCCTTGCGCGTGAACGTCTTTGTGCAGTATGTGCACTTGTGCGGCGATTCGCCTGTATGTTGCCGTACATGATTAACCATGTGATCTTTGCGCGTGAACGCTTTCGTGCAGTACGTGCACTTGAACGGTGTCTCACCCGTGTGCTGGCGTATGTGATTGACCAGATGCTCCTTGCGCGTGAACGTCTTCATGCAGTAGGAGCAGCGATGGGGCGATTCTCCCGTATGCTGGCGCACGTGATTTAACAAATGCTCCTTGCGCGTAAACGTCTTGGAGCAGAAGTCGCACCGATGCGGCGTCTCGCCTGCTTGCGTGGCAAAAGTGTGAGGAGATATCAAGAAAATGTTTAGAGATTAGTAATCATTCATCATTGATCATTGATCATCGATCATCGATTCATCGATCATCATCGATCATCATCGATTCATCGTTCATCATTCATCATTCAAGTCAGGGCGGATTCAGGGCTGGTTTGGCATTGGCACAGACGGGTGCAGTGCAGTGCAATGCAGGATACGTCTCTCTACCCTTGGCGATGGGGGGGAATATGTGTGGTTGTGGCATGTGGCATGACAAGATACAAATACATCAATATACTCTTTTTTCTTAAACATCCTGTAAATATGATCAAGGATTCTGCTCGATATATGTATGTGGTGTAAGGCAGTGTTTGCTTTTCCACTCTTGTGAATCGTTCGATCGATTTCTTTGCACCCCATCCCTAATTGGAGAGTTCGTTATCGCTGCTGCTCGTGCACCAATCGTGCGCCGTCGACTTGTGTGTGTTTAATGCGTGTCAAAGCGTGTATTGGAAAGAGTTTTGAACCTTTAGCAGCTAGCTGCTATATGGGGGATTATCAGGAATCTAGGATCTAGCATATGGGTGTGTGGTGTGGTGTGGTCTATGGTCTGTGTGTTTCGGTTCTTTGGTTTGTCTCTTTACCTGTATGCCAGAGTATGTGATTGGTGAAGTGCTCCTTGCGGCTAAAGCTCTTGCCACAGATCTCGCAACGGAACGGCGTCTCGTTGGTGTGCGATCGCATATGATTTGCTAGATGCTCCTTGCGCGTGTATTTCTTGCCGCATACATCACACTGATGCGGTGTTTGACCTGTGGTTATATGGGGGTAACAGAATAGAAATTGTATAGGGCATTGGGTTTTATGTTTTTTTTTTTCTTTTCTTTTCGTTCAAGCAGCAAAGCACTTTGCTGTTTCACAATTTTCATTCGTTTTCTTTACTTTTCTCTTTTTGGCTAGCGCAAGCATTTTCTTTTTTCTCGATATTGTTTTTCATCTAATTTACATTGTATGTATACCCCTGTTCCACTAGGCACATTCTGAAGCTGTACAATTTACCCACAAGCGATGGGATGCTAGAAAGACTAGCAATTCAAAATTTACATCGATATAAATACGAAAATATTTTTAGATTAAAAAATTACAATATTATAGGATACAATACAACAAGTAACAGTTGTAATATGATTTTTTGATGGAATATTGAAGGAAAAACAGCTGAACTAAACGAGAAATATTTTGTTATTCACTTTTTGAACGTGGGGGACTGGAATTATGCGTCACTGTGGAAGCTGCGCATGTGAATGTGTGTCTAATGGAACAGTGGCATTTATTAGTCTTAAGTTTTCAATTCTTAATAATTTTTTTTTGTTTACTTTTTTTTAAAACAACTTTTAATAATCATAGAAAAAACAAAAATTTTGATATACCCCCCCGCCCCGCACCGCTACTACTAAATGTGTGGTGGTGTGTGAAACTGGCGCCGTGGCTTTCGTTGGGTTCGAACGAAGCGAACGGAGGCTCTGGGGCTCTGCTGGCGATTCGGGCATATGGACGTGGGCGTGGTGGTCTTTTGTGGATATGGCAATATGTGTATGTGGTGTGTGGAGTGTGGTATGTGGTGTGGATGTGTATGTGTGTATGTGTGGGATGTGTGCCTGTCAACTCTGTTTCTACTCTATGCTGATCTTCAGGATGCTTTTAGTTGTGGAACGTGAAGTTCTTTCTCTTTGCTAGAGTTGGTACTTAAAGTAGAAAAGCCTGAACTATAATGTCATTTGTATGTATAAAAGCGTTGTGTTCATGTGTGTGTGTGTTTGTGTATGGCAATGTCGCAGCTACACAGAGACGTTGGCAATCGACAAGCAGCAACAACGAACTTTTTTTTTCTTTTTTTTTTATTCATTTACTTTGGGCACCCTGTTTGACAGCAGAGAGAGATAGAGAGAGAGAGCATCAATCAGGCGAACAGGAGTGGAGAGATTCAATGGAGAAGTGGAGAATCAGTAAAGTGGACAATCAATGGAGTGGAGATCGGGAGTGAATCAATGGAGTGGAGTGGAGATAAGGAGTGAATCAATGGAGTGGAGTGGAGATCGGGATTGTGGATCAATGTAAAGTGGAGAGAGTGGAGATCAGGAGTGGAAGTGCATAATCAATGGAAACAGTGGAGAGCGGTCATAAAATGTAGATCAGTGGAGTGTGTGTGGATTGGAGATTGGAGTTTGGAGAAACAGAGCACAGGAATGTGGGTTGTTTGGTGATTGGTGTTTTTTTTGGTTCTTGGTTGTTTTTTGTTGGTGTTTTGGGGGATGTGTGATGCAGATATGATTTGGTGGGGGTTTAAGGATAATGTTATGAGCGGTATGAGCGAGTGAGCGTGTGGTTTATATATTATGTGTGTATATATTTTTTGGTTGCAGGATAATGTACGCACGATCCTGCCCCCCTGGGACAGGGTACAGTACCGTTCGTGCATCTAGGCTGAAGCGTTAGTGAGAGTACAAAACAGTGAAGGACTGTGATAAGGATTAGAGTGGGAAGCTGGGGAGGCTGGGCTCAACAGGAGGACAAAGCACAAGCAATGGGAAAAGGAGATATTAGAGAGAGAGAGCGACAGTCAAAGTAGGACGACAGACGGAGGACGCACGATGAAGCTATTGAGATTGATTGTTAAAATTTTTGAATTTTGACGGTGCTTGTTTCAACATTTGTTTGCTTGATAGGTTGATCGATTGATTAATTGATTGATTGATATATATTAATATTGGTTCTTGGTTGGTGTGATGTGGTGATGGCTGTTGTTTTCATTCTTGTACTCTATTTATACATATATATATGGATTGGATATAATTTGAACTGGATTTGACTTTGAATCTGAATTCGATATGATTTGATTTGATTTGATTTGATTTGATTTGGTATATGATTTCTGTTGGGTATTCGGTATTTGGTTTGGTATTCGGTATTTGGTTTGTTTTTAATGGTATTTGGTTCTGTTTTTGGTCTTGTTTTTGTTTTGGCGCTCGCCGCTCGCATTGTCCGCCCCCACCAATCAATCACACTCACCAGTGTGCCACATGTAGTGGTTAACATAGTGTTCCTTGCGCGTAAAGGACTTCTTACAAATATCGCAACGATGTGGCGTCTCACCCGTGTGTTTGCGCACATGGTTAACCATATGCTCCTTGCGCGTAAACGTCTTGGCGCAGTACTGGCAACGGAAGGGCGTTTCGCCCGTATGCGAACGAAAGTGATTGTCCAGATGCTCTTTGCGGGCAAAGGTCTTTTGGCAAATGGTGCAGGCGAATGGCTTGTCCGTGGAATGACGTTTCATATGCCGCTCCAGACTGGTGTTGTTGGCAAACACATTGAAGCACACGATGCAGGTGAACATGGGGCCACCGATGTGGATTTTGCCATGGCGTGTCAGGTCCTGCGACGTGGTGAAACCCTGTCCGCACACCTGACACATGAACGGCTTGCGTTCGCTGTGGTAGCGACGGTGCACGATCAGCTGATACCGAAACTGGAACATCTTGCCACAAATGTCGCACACATGGGTCCCCGTCGCAATGGGCGTCCCGTCTGGGGCCAGCGCCACGGTCGACTGCCCGTCCACGCCATGAATGCCGCCCTCCATTTTAGGCATAAGCAACTCACCCGCCGTGGTTGTGGTGCCCCCGCTACCGCTGCCGCCGCTGCCACTGCTCGCCGTCGAACTGGTCGTGGTCACCGTTGCGCTGCCCTGCTGGCCGCCGGAGCTTGTCGCCACCGGCAGGCCGTTGCCTCCCGCCGCCGATGCGGCCGCCGCTGCCGCTGCAGCAGCATTCGCTGAGGCCATTACAGCCGCTACAGCGGCATTATTAGTGGATGCTGCAGCCGCTGCTGCCGCTGCACTCACGGCATGCGTCTGCGGTGGCAGGGGTGGTGGTGGCGGCAATTGTCCGCCATGCGCCGCCGCCAGCTGATGATTCACCACATCGCCATGGATCTTTCCAAAGACCTCGTGGTATGTAAACAGCTGGGAGATATCCTCAATGTTCACCTTGTACATTTCTATGCCGTGCGGCGGTTTGCCATCCTCTTTGTTCTCTGATTTAGGCAATGGCGGCGGTCCGCCGAGGGTGATGGTGGTTCCACCAGTGGTCACGACCGGGGCTACAACTGATGGCACCGAGCTCGCAGCGCTCACGTGCTGCATGCTTGTCCGGAACGCCGATGTATAAAATCCTCCTCCTCGTTGTTGCTCCTCCTCCTTGCTGTGTATATTTTATTAAAGATTTTTTTGATTGTTCTTATAGTTGTGGATGGGAGAATCTGGTGGTTGCTGAATCTGTCTTGAATTGGTTCTGTTGATGTTGTTGTGGTGTTGCTGGTGCTGCTGTTGTGTGCCGCCTACATATTGTTGTTGCTGCTGTCGACTGCTTTCACTGAGCGTGGCTACAACAAACAAAAAAGGCAAGTGGAAGTGGAGGTGTCACTTAATCGAGTTGCTTTTGCCGAGAGCTGGCTGGCTGTTGGGATTTGGTGGGGCAATTACCATGTGGTTTCCTTCCTTCTGTTCTGGATCGTCTTCAGGTGTTGCCGCGCATTCAATGGTTTATTATCGTTCACCTGAAAGTGCAGGAAATATATATGCAAATTAAATGAGAAGTTCTTTAAAGGTAGCTCTTATTGTAACTGTAAGTATTCTATTGTCTACTGCATCTCTGGGGATCACTGAAAAGTGGAGCAAGGAAAACTCACTGCCTGGGCCAAGGCCTTGGCAAGAGGGAGATTCCCGGGCAAACCGCAATGGTGCTGCTGATGCTGCTGTTAGTTTAACAGAACCCTAACAGTGCGCTCTTATCAATGTAACAGTGTCGCAAAGTAAACACTTTTCTGTTATTGTTGTTGTAACGGGACAAAACAAAATTTCTGCAGAGATGAGCAGCAGCAGCAGCAGAAGCAGCAGAAGCAGCATGAAAGAGCAGGGCAGGCAAGCGAGCGAGCAGAGCATTAACCCTTGAATGTAACACAAACTTCAGCACAAATATAAATCCCGAGAACAAGTAGAATAGGTTTGTTCTGTCTCTCTGTCTGTGTGTGGGTGGGTGGGGGTGGGGGTGTGGGGCTGTTTCGTGTGAGTTATGCAAGTACAGTTGAGCTTTAAACGCACACAAACAAACAAACAATGGTCATACAAACATATGTACATACATACATACATATGTATGTATGTATTCTGGAGCCCAGGACTAATTTATGTAAAAAGATGTTGGGCATTTTATTGATTTTGCTGCTGGGCATTAAAAGTGATATAAATTGCCCATTAGCGAACCGCAGCCCGCACACTTCAACTCCCCTCTACACAAATACTCTGTCACTCCCTCCACACACACACACACACACTACCCATACTCCCCCTCATACACACACACACACACACATACATACTCACTCTCAGCTGGATCTAAACCGCTATGTTTTGCTCCACAGCAGCGGAAGAGAAGGGCGCAGGAGCAGGCAGCAGGCAGCAGGAGAGGAGCCAGCATGAAGGCAGGACGCAGCAGCAGCAGAAGAAATAACTTTATATAAATTGTAAATGGCAAAAAGCAGCAAAACCGAATGACACAAGGGACACAAAAAAGGGAGTGGAGCAGGGCTGGGACTCGAGCAAGCCTCGCCTTAGCTTTTGGGGCTGAGGGCATGGATTCAGGATTTAGATATCCAATCAGAGTATGCAAGCATTTGATAGACATTTTTGGAGAGAGAGAGAGAACTTACACACACACACACACACACACACTTAAACAGATAGGCGAGGAGAGAGAGAATGCGAAGGGCTGCGAAAGTAATGTGGGAGTGTGGAGGAGTGGAGGGGAATCATGTGTGAAGTGAAGAACGTGGTTCCGTGAGGGAGTGGAGGCGACTCAATAGGCTCAGCTTATGGGTATAAGAAGAGAGGCGGGAATCGAAGTGCCCGAGTCATGTGAGAGTGTGCAGCGGAGGAAAGTCAAAGGGCTGAGAGTCATGTGGAAGATTGTAGAAGTGAAGGACAGTCGAGGGGGGTGGTGATGTAAATATCAAAACGTACAAATCGATTAAAGACAACAACGCTTCAGAGTGTAAGTGCGTGTGTGTGTGTGCGTGTGTATTTGTATGTGTGTGCAAGAAAAAGTGAGCTGCGAATTAAAGATGGTCAGGAAGAGAATAAGAGAGAATGGTGAGGGATGGGGGAAGGGGACGACATTAGCAAACAGAAGAGAGAGCGCTCGCGCATGAGCGGGGAACGGGGGCTGTTTGCATAGGTCCTGGTTGTCCCTTTTTTGCTAAGCGCTTTACAGTTACAGTTTATGGGCTAAGCAGGCGGGAGAGAGTGGAGAGTAGATGTTGCCCCTCCCGCAGCTATTACTGTGCTCCTCTCTCTCTCTCTCACACTCTCCTTCACTGTTTGATTGTTTTTTTGGAGCAAATAATTCAGCAAACACAATTCAGAGCCAACAGGGAGAGGGCGGGAACGAACTAAGCTTGAAAGGCGGGAACGAACTGCAGAGACAGAAAAAGAGAGGAAGAGAGAGCTGGGTGGAGAGAAGGACACTGAAAAGGGCGCCACTTTTAACTGTGGTGAGGTAGGAATGTGTGTGTGTGTGTATTTTACACACAGATGCACATGCATAAGTAACGTTACACATGTATGCAAGATATTTCCCGGGCCACCAACAAAACGAGAAAAAGGGGGCGGTGTTCGGGCGGGCATGTAAAGTGCTGATGAAGCGAGGCACACAAAAAAAAAAAACTATAAGACAAATGGCTCAATCTAACAGTAACGACACAGGGTGTCATCGTATCAAGTAACTGCAATTCAAGTTGCGTTATAAAACAAAATAATAAGTTGACTGCTATACTTGCATAGTGGCGCACAAAAATCTACGTACCATCCTCAATTTAGAAAATATCAAGAAAAAAAAGAGCGCAAAAGCTTACAGCACTAATCTATAAATTTCATAAAAACATGTTTGGCGCCTTATCCGTAGCGCTTTCTTTAGACTTTACAGAACTTTTGTAGACTTTTCTGCGCCACTGTCTATAGATGCTCATATTATTTTTATTACATATTAAACAGGTTCCAAGAAATTTGAGATTCTACGTACTAATGTGCTCGTAATACGGAAAGATCTCGCTTTGCCAACAGAGCACCTAAACTATTTTGCGCGGTACCCTCAAACGTTAACGTCATCTTGCCAAATCGTATCTCGTTTAGTTCCCTCAATGCGCATTCAGATTTAAGGAACTATCTATCATTCTACATCTGTATATTTCTTTAATCTTGACCTCCGCCCAAGAGCGTTTTCATGCCAAAGTAATATCCAGCTAATGCTAAAACAAAACACTTTTATAGAGGCTCAAAGTTTCAATGGTAAGCAATACTTTTTATCCATTCAATCGACTTTATAATCAGTTCTGTGTACGCTATTATTTCCACGAACCCACACGAACATAATACTACATATCTACAATAACTCGATTGCAAAAAAAAATTGTTTATACAAACACAAAAAATAAAGCCGCATAGCGGACATGAGACCAGTGCTGCCAGAGTAAATATAAGCTAGATTCGAAAAAAAAAAATATGCTAAAAGTGGCCAAAATCTAAAATAAATAAGCTAAAAAATGTAAATGTTCAATGGCCTTTGGTTGTGTCTGCGGTAACTTTTCGCAACCACTCCCTAAATTCACCCCCTGACCCACAGAACTCTCATATTCAAAATATACCATACATTGTTTAAACCATTCAATGGTAAGCACAATAAACCAGTTCCGATATCTTTTATGCAACAAAAAGTCAATAAAATTGTAATTTTACTTTAAAGCTAAAATATTTCTTATATAAGTTTATATAAGCTATTTGCAAATTTTCTAAGCTAGCCTACTTTTAAATATGGTAGATCTAGCCTGAAATAGGCTAAACTGGCAGCACTGCATGAGACCCGTGGGATCGTTTATACAAATATCTGGACCGGCTTGATCAAAAGACGTTCGTTCAAAACGAAATAAATTCCTAGTGAAAAATTGCATTCATCTACTGCCAAAATAAAATAAACTAAAATTATATAATGTTGACCCTGTATATCTTAAATGATGGATTGAATAAATTGGCCAACTCGGCCTCACTTACCGCTCATTTACGTATAGTTCCTCTTGTTGGCCTTAATATCGGCCAAAATATTGCGTGGCTCTCCAGGAGCCGACTTAAAAAATATATTTATATACTCCTTTTTTTCTGCGGTGTTGAGGGCACCACCTGCAACGAGAAGAAATGGAGACATCGAAATAACAATAACCGTAATAATAACAATCAAAGGGAGCAACAGTTTGTTGTTGGTGTTTATGTTTGCGCGATATGTACAAACGGCCCGCGGTACAGTTTTCCCCCTTTGCCAATGGGAACGGACGGGGCGATAGAACCAATGGATGCGGATGCGGGCACGGACGCGGGACGAAAGCAAATCAAGCGAAAATTTATTTGCAGCCAATATATGCAAAAGCCACACACACACAAACACACACACACACACGTGAAAGCTGCGCCGAGTCTGCGTCACAATGCTGCTGGCAGAGGCAGCGCAAAACGAGGAAAGAAGACGAAATATTCTAACTCCAATTGGAAGGTGTGCGCGAGTGGTGGGGGAATGTCATGCAAAATTTTACATTTTCAAGCACATACTACATCCATCTCCCCCTCTCAAATCGGATCAGAGATGTGGTGCTAACAAATCAAATTAATTGTATCTATATCTAGAAGAGGCCTGTGTAGCCTGTATGTGCGTGCATCGTTCCGTCTTCTAGATTCTAGATGGGGGAGCTCTCCTCTCATCTCTCGCTCTCCCTCTTCAATCCGCTTTTGGCTGCCAGCAGAAGAGGAAAGAGAAAAAAAGTTGTATCTTTTCCCACTCTTCCCCTCTCACTCTACAACCATCCTTCTGCTTTTCGTGCACTTTTGTATGGGTTTTGCTTTATTTTGTTGTTCTCGTTTTTCCTCTCTCTCTCTCGCTCACTAACACACACACACACACACAGAAACTTACGCTCACGCTCTTTTTGCCTTACATTGTCTCTCATTATTCATTGAACGACAACGACGGTGTTCCTCCCCTGCTGTTGTTAACCCCCCCCACCGTTCCCTTTCCAACGTTTTGCACGAACGACGCTACGTACAATTCCCAGCCGCCTAAAGCGGAAAACCAATAAAAACGAATTGAATCGCAAAGCGTAAGTACAAAATAAAGCGAAACGAGACAAAAAATGAAAGCTGAGAGAGCGGATGAACGGGGCAGAAGCGGACAGGGATAGAGAGCACAAGAAGCGAGAGGAATGAAGCGAGTACAGGCGGCACACGACGCGTCCCATACAAGTTTTTAGCCTTTTGGCTCACATTCTATGTAGCTGTAGCCCCCGAGATCCGAAACTGAGTTATAGTTATAATTATTGGCGCTGGCTGCTGGCTTTTTCTTTATTTTTAATTCTCAAATTTTGAGCGAATGATGGCGGAGAGGAGGGAAAGATCTCGACTGAGGCACATTTTCATTACAGCCAATTAGTGTGCATTTCATAATTGTTTAAAAAAATACAAATAAGAAAAATCAGAGAGCGAGAGAGAGAGGGAAAGATGACCAGAAGTGGAAAGTCCAATTCGACTAAATTACTGTTCTAATAGGAGAGGGCTGCCGCACCAAGCAACCATATGGCAGCTGAAAAAGGGGCAGAAATCTGGAAGTAAAAATTATGTTTACACCGGAGCAGAGCTGGGGCCACTCACTCTCTGCATTGCACTTTTTCTCATCTTTCTTTCTAGTAATATTAATAAATTTCTGAAAAATGCAACCCTGCGTCTCTCCCTGCCCGCTACAGGCAAACAAGAATGACACGATGATGACGTTAATGGGAACTCTGTAGATGTATGGTGCACACACACACACACATACACCAACACCGATTAGACGCGCTGCTCACATATCTCACACTAGCGCAATCACTCTCGCACACACACACACATTGTAAAGTCGACCGCAAAGTCATTTGATTAATAATTTTTGGTATTCTTTTTTTCGGCATACGAATTTCACAAATAAACACAATTGTGGCGGCACCTACGCCCCCGCCCGCCAATCCGAAATTTAGTTGCAGTTTTTACATATATGCACACGTATATTCTCTTAAGTATGTTCTTATGACGCCAGTATAACGAAAATTACTTGATTGCAATGGTGTTGGTGGTGGCTGGCAGGCACTCTCACATACACATCTACATACATCTGTCTGTATGTATGCGTGCGTGTGTGTAGAAAAATCAGAATCGAAAAACGCCGCGCGCGGGTGAGAGACGGTGGCGGTGGTTTCGGCGGTTTTGAGATACTTTCGGGCGGGCCGGGCCGTTCTTTCAAATCCGCCCGCCTTCGGATGTTGCTGGTGGCTAAAAATGTTGCTCGGCAACAAACGTGTGTTGCTGAGGGAAAAGACGGGTAAGGTCCGCAGGCGAAACGGAACAGAAAATTCAGCGCATGCAAGGTAAAAGCCACCCCAATAGTTAACATACTGTGATTTTCATAGCATATTGTTAATCAGAGACGGTGAGGTGGGGTTTATGGGAGCCTGGAAATGTTGCTGGGGTCATTTTTGGCAGCTTTCCATACCTTTTCATAGCCTATTGGTTCTAGTTTTATGTTGCTGGAAACATGTGTTCGCAAAAATCTAAAATAACTTATTTCGGTACAATATCCCGTTTTTTTGGATGAGCTGCTCAGTTGAATTTTAATAAAATTTGTATGATAATAAATAGGACAAGCGAAATAAAACATTTTTTTTTCTACCTCGTTTTGTTCAAATCGTATTGTGCATGTCGCTGGCAGCATGTTGCTAGCACAGTCGAGACTAATTGGAATCTAGCTGGTTTTACTTTTAAAATTAATTTTTAAGCTTTTAGCTTTTTGGATTCATTTTAAGTTGAAAATATTCAAATAAAAAATATGAATTAATTTACAAACATTTATTTTTAATGGTTTTTCTTTTTTGAATCTAGCTATTTTTATTCTGCGGTGGGCACCTCCGTTAAGAGGTGTGGAGGCAACGAGAGAGAAAGAGGGAGAGATGGTGAACGAGAGATACAGATACAATGCGTGCATGTGTGTGTGTATGCGATTGCGTTGTTCTTATTAACCGACTCGCTGACTACCTACCGCCCCCCACCAATGCTTTTTTGGGGCCGAAACATAAAAAGGCGGCAAAATTATTACACACAAATATGCCAGAACAACAAGGAATCCAATCTGAATTCTGAATGCCACCACTCCATTTTAGATTATACGTACCCGGCTTTAATTTTGACTTCAATTTGAATCCACGCTACCACTCCTTTTTTTGTTTCAGCGTCCCTCGTCACCTTTCTCCGTTCCACGACGCACGCAGACGCTTGCCACAAAGTTACTTAATTGCAGCCGCGGATTACTTTGCTTCCGTTTAACTTGAACACTAACAGCACTATTACACGACCCGCAAAGAAGTTTGATTTGTTATAGTTAATAAAATTATAAAATATAATTTATAATTATAAAAAAAGTCCGGTTTAGTTTATTAGAGGTGTCAAACCAAAGAGGGCACTATCGATAGTACTGATATTTTGCTGCTAGCCTCTGCTATCGATGGTTTTGAGACTATCATGATAGTATCGAGCTACAGTCGTTGCGCTGTTGATATGTTTGGATTGGCTGCTTAAAATACGAAGACAAATTTGTAAACAAATCGACAGCTGGCATCTAATTTTTACAATGGACAAATTCCTAAAAGATTTCAATGGTTTTTAATAATTATTTGAGCCCGATACTATTACGATAGTATCGATTGTTTTTTTTTCAAAACATTCAACGTTGATATTCCCTGATTTTGGTATTCCGTTTAATATTACTAGCTAGTTGGCGCTCTCAACCCTAAACTAATAATTTTATCCGATAGATACATACATTTTCTACAAGATTTGCAAGTTTTCAGAAGTCCTTTTTATTGCATTGTTTACATAAAAAGGTTCAAACAAAAACGGCCAAAGCATAAAACGTAAATGTTGACCTAACTGTGACGTCAATGTTGCTGATCAACCGTGTTTCTTCTATGCGTATGGACTTTTATATACCTTTTTTCTTTTAATTGATGATAAATGTTTTGTTCCAAGCAGCTATGAAACATGAATAATGAATTTGTATTAGAATTACATGTTTGTTACCTATTTATGCATACGATTTGTTATCTGTAAATAAATTTATCCCGGTTCTGATACGGGAACGGGAACGTTCCCGTAAGATGCATGTGGCTCACAGCGCGAAAAGGAGGGGAAAGTCACCACGAAAACGCTCTCTTCACCTCGGAAAAGAGAGCAAATTTTGAAAAACCACCACGAACCACGAATTGAGAGCGAAAAATGTCAGTATTTTTGGTGCGCTAAATGATTTTGGCGGTCATTTTCAAAAGTATATTAATATATGGAAAAATAAATATTTCACTTGATTTGTTTTGTCGAGTGTGACTGGAACCTCAGAAACGTCATTTTCAAAATATGCCGTAAATATACCAAGAAACGATGGCATGGCTATCTATCGTTATCCGCTAAACGCCGGATTTGAATTCAAAATGTGTTCTATTCTTTGATTGCTTTTATTTAGCTTTATCGTAAAATAAACATATAATTCGTATCCTTAAATGTCTAGTCTAGTACATAAATTTACTCACAAATCTTTTTTGGATTAATATTGCGCTGTGCTGTTGTTTTCTAATGCTATAAACCATTAAAAAACATATCGATTTGTGCCTTAAGCCTGATCGGGGGAAGCTATATATTCTCGCATCGCATAAATCTAAATGGAAATCTAAATAAAAAATCACACAAAATGCGGAAAAAAACAAATTAAATTCGTAACAAATGTACAGGCAAATAATGCAAGTAAAAAAATATAGTTTACAATTTCTCAGCGCCCTAATCTTGAGAGATGTCTGAATTACAATATTTAAGCTTCCTTTTTTGTTTGTTTGTTTTTTTAAAGAATTTTCTATTTCTTGTTTAGTTTTCTGTGTATTTCTTTTTTCGTTTTGGCAATTGGTTACGCGCTTCTCAAAGTTTTGCTGTAGTTTCCCTAGTCGGTTATATATTTATTCTGTTAAAATTCATCCAAATCCTTGACTGCAATCGGTAGTTTTTTTTTTGTTTTTCACGGTAGCTTACACAAGAATATACACTGCTCTCTGAATGTATATATAAAAAGTGGTCCTTAATTCGAGACGTGTGGCTAAAACGTTTGTTTATGTATACATATATATATATATGCATATATATATTTTGTTTTCTTTTTTGCTGGGTGCTATTTCAAACGAAATGAAAGTATGAAAAAAAAGAACACGAAATTCTGCTCAATCGGACACACTACGGAGGAGACTCTACAGAATACAGATCTCTTCTGGTTGTTTTCGTTTTATAGTTTTTAGTAAGCTAATATAAATCACGATAATATGGCCACGCTGCGACGCGGACCGCCCTGACTGATGTTGTCCATGGAGGACCATTTCTTGATGCCATTCTTGAGCGCCTCGGCTGTGACTTTGTCCTGCATAACACGGGACATGGCCTCCAGCTTTTGGGCGCGCTCCTTGGACAGCGGCTCTGTGGGGAAATTGAGCTCATTTGCCTCGGCCAGTGTTCGCAAATCGAAATAGTATTTGGCATACACAGAGGAGGGCACATTAATGTTGAACTGCAGCAGCTCCAGGAACTGTCGCTCCAGCTCGTTCATATCCTCCACCGTAATGTCTTTGAGTATCTGGCAGTAGTCCACATTCCACACAGCCTGATCGTCCCACACCTTGGAGGCGAGCAATATGGCACCTGGCAGAGAGAAAGATGCAACGATTATTAACCTCTGTCAATGGCTTGGTCGCTACTTTACTTACCCAACACCATGCGCTTCCAGTTGGATGGGCCCACATCCATTTCCGCATAGGTGAGGAGTCGCTCTAGGTAGACTAGCGTGATGATTGCACACTCTGCCGTCAGTTGGGCGGCATTGAAGAGCGTCCGCACAAACTTGTAGATCTGTCGGTGCTCGGGATTGTGGGTATCATAGTTTTCGGGCACTGGGTCATGCGTCAGTGGATGCGCCTTCTCATCGAATATGTCCAGACGGCGATCCGACTGACGGTTCTTGATGTGATAGTAAATCGCCAGCGAGACACACTTGACGGTGTTCTTGAGATTTGGCTGCGACACAGTGCTATCGTCCAGATAGATGGTGGAGCAGGAAGAGCTCTTCTTCATGCCACCGCCAACGCCACCACCGCCGCCACAGCTATTGCCACCGGGTGTGCTGCCACCGCCGCCAATGCTGCCCGCCTGCTGCGCGATCTGCTGCTGTGAGCGTTTACGCGTCATGCCGCCATTCTCCACCTTGGAGCGTTCGAGAAACATGGTGGCTGCCGTTGGATCCACCGATGGGTCCTCATCGCCCTCCACTGGCTCCCGTTCCGAGATGTGCTGCAGATTCTGTTGATTCTCAAAATTGTCGCTGCTGCCCTGCTGATGGTGATTATGATGATGATGATGATGCACCGCCGCCGTGGAGCCATGATGTCCATCCAGCTGATGCTGTGAGGTGTGTGGCGGATGATTCAGCTGATGGCGCTCCTCAAACACTGGCGGCATATCCTTGGACTTGCGATCCGACTGCGGACTGGAGTACGCACAGCACGAGTTCTTGTTACCCATGATTGATGATGGCTTGATGGATGACTTGGAGTGCTTTGGAGTGAATTGGCAGTTTAAATGCAATTTCCTGTCGCTCTTCCCGTCACTATTCCTCGCTTTGGCTCTGGCTGTGGCTGTGGGCTCTCTGCTCTCGTTTCGTTCACGCTCGAATCTCGTTTTTGGCACTTGGTCGTCTTGGGTGATCCGCTGTGTTGTCTATCAGCATGGCGCTGGCGTTTATATCGTTCCACAATAATCCCTGCCGCTGCTACTGAACGCTGCTCATCCCGTATCTACCGCATATGCACTGCAAAAGAAGATAGCAATTAGAAAAAGGGATTCATGTGCTCTTATCTAGCGTGGCTCTACTACACTCATTATTATTCTTTTTATTTGTAGATAAGATTCGATTCTGTTTGCCCAAACGCGGAATATCGCTGCCAGCTTAAAGGCCAGCCGGATTATTGTGCAAAAAATGAAATTAATTAACCCCAGGCACGACAAACAGCAGAGCAGAGCAGGCCGGTCGCGAGTCGCGACACCCGTCCGTAGGTGGATTGCAGGTTGCCTAATTTGGCGAGGCAAGGCGAGGTCTTTGTTGGTTTGGTTTTTTTCTCTCAGTTTTTTGATTTTCGCGTTTTTTCTTTCTTGGGGCGGGGCTGGGTGGCTTGTGGCTTGGGTGTTGTTTGGCCGACTGATGAGTGATTGTCACCAAAAACTGATGGCCCAGATTTAGATTAATTTGTCACACAGTCAAACGGTGGGCTCCATATTAATCACGCTCCCCAAAATGCATGAATGAATGAATGGAATCGCTAGCTTCGTCGTCGGCACTGGCGGTCGGGGGGCGCCTCTCCTCACACTCACAAAGCACCCACAGCTTATCCCCTTCATTTTTGCAGCCAGGCGAATCGAAATGATATCCCTAACAAGTGTTGTGATGCTTACTTGATTGACACTTAATTATTTAAACACTTTTGACACATTTTTTAATTGTTTTTTTCTTGCGTTTTGTAGCCTAGTAGAGGTGTCAAACCAAAGAGGGCACTATCGATAGTATCGATGTTTTGCTGCTATCCGCTACTATCGACGGTCTTGCGACAGTCATGATAGTATCGAGCTACAGTTGTTGCTCTTTTGATATGTTTGGATTGGCTGCTCTAAAATACGAAGACAAATTTGTAAGCAAATCGACAGGTGGCATCTAATTTGTACAACGGACAAGTTCCTAAATGGTTTCAATGGTTTTTTAATGGTTTTTTGAGCCCGATACTATTACGATAGTATCGATTGTTTTTCAAAGAAAACATCAATTCGGTGTATTACCACCTATCGATATATTGATTATCGAAATGACGGCAAATCGCGGGAAATTCAAAATCTTTGTCACTAAAGGCAGTAATGACTTCAGATCCGGATTAAATAGCAGAACTGGTTCATATATCCTTGATATCGTAGGCTTCTCTAAATATATAGCTCTACTGTCTGCACTTGATGATGACCATATTTCTAGCAAAAATTAAATTCCGTTTTTCTACCGATATTATTTTGGAAATTATATTGAAATAAACTTCAATTAGTTTGATTAGGTTTAATAAGAATTTTTATTAGTATATTAAAAGTCATATGGTGTTATTATAATTTACTTGAAAGTATTTCGTAATAAGCATACATCTCAGCCATATTCAATTTATCTCAAAATGGGTTACCAGGCCCACAATAACATACATACATTTGAATATATGCATTATTAAATGTTTGAGTTAAACATAGTAGGAAAATTAAAAAGATTTCATTAGTAGGCTTTTCTTCTGGTTTAATCTTTTTTTGATTTTTGTTTGTTTGTTGTTGCGAAAACTTTGAAAGTACACATTAGTTAGCTTATAAATGAAAAAGATGAAACAAAGTTATTTACAGTATATATGTATAGTAGCATTATGTGGGCTGAAACTGTAGGATAGGACAGCATAGGATGGGACTGGGACTACGTTCTTGTGGTTCTTTGCTTTGATTTTAGTTACTGTGCTTGGCTAAATATTCTAAATCAAATATTGCATCCTGTGCCACATTTTTATTTACACAAAATATTATTCTTGTTAGTGTTACACATTGTCTATCAGGCAAGCTCCGGTTTTCACTTTCGCCAAAAACATTCCGATTTACGTTTGAAAAGCGAAATAGGTTTGGTGCTCCCGTTTTCGCAAAACGGAAACATTTTCCTTGCCGAAACTAAAAGCGGCTTTTTATACAACAAAACAAATCTGAATGACTTATTGATGCATTACCGGAGCAATTCAGCTTGTGCCTCTTTAAGAAATAATGGTTTTTCTCAACCCAATCTCCGAACTGGCTCTAAAATAATTGGTCACGCATAACAGATGTTTTTCGTGGGAGCAGTACTAATTGTGCTCCCAACAGGACACAAATTTGCGAAAACCGGAGCACACACAAACGAAAAGTAAGCGTTTTGGTTAAAAACCGGTTGCCTGCCTGTGTATTGTATTTATTTTATATATCATATTTAAATGTAATGATTGCTTTCAACTTATATAGTTTTTATATATGTATGTATGTATGCTTGTATGTAAGTATGTTATATTCTTGCACCAGCTAAAGGATAGATGGCTAGGATTTTCATTTGTCAGAAAAGTGTTTTGCATTGGCTGGAATTACATACCACTAAGCTACATTTTGCTAATAACATCGAATCATAAATCTCATATCTCATATATGTATGTACTGTATGTATATCTCCACATATGTATGTATGTATGTTTGAATAGTTTGTTAAACATTTTGTATCTGTAGTTTGTTTCAACATTGAGATTAATAACAACATTTGTTCGCTTGAATTTTTGCACAACATATTTTCCTCTACGACTAAAGTTCTAATTTATATACGAATTTTATTTGTACAGTTTTATGAGAGAGTTTCTATATATATATATATATATGTATGTATATATATGCGTATCGCTTTGAGCGTTCAAGTTTGATATACAATTATATTTACTATATTTAGTTGTTATATATATGTATATATATATTTATATGTAATAGATATTACTTGTTTTAATGGTTTTAGGAGTAGATTATTTTGCTGTGTGTGTGTATTGTATTGTGTTGTGTTTTGTTGTTGTGTTGTGGCTACCAGTAGACAACATGGCATGCACCTCCACATCCTCCTATGTATGGGCCTGCCACGTCTGTTCGTACATTTATTGACTACCTTAATAAAGCTATGATCCCAATTTCAGCTGATAATTTGGTACCTTACTGCTAAGCACATTTACCACTGCTCTTTGACACTAGCACTGCCCCGGTTTCGCTTCACGGTTTTTTCTGTCTTCTCAATTTTCGAACCCCATTTCTGCTGCCTCCTTTTGGTTGTAAAGAACAGTGGTAAATCTTAAAAGAATGGTCCCGCTATCAGACATTTTGAAAAACGTTTGAAAACATTTCAAGTTGGTTAAAGAAAAGAAAAACCCAAACGAAAGTAAATCAAATTCTGTTTTGCGATTTAAATCCTTCTCACCGTCTCGCACACGTCTTCTCTCTCACTCCCTCGTATCTCTGTCTATCTCTCCCTCGCTCTTGTATAAAAATAAATATGCTTTTTGTTTTGTAGAAATCGTGACTATTATATACTTAATCATATATGTATGTATATATAGTAGTAATATATTCTTTCGTATAGGTAGCTATGTGCATTTGTAGAGTGGAAAATGGTTAGAAATCCTTTTTGCTTTGGAGTAAAGTCTGTTAGTGGTTTAAGGGTAGAGTATATACAAAGTCGTATAGCTAGCTACTCAGGTATTTTGTCGGTTAGTTTTTGTTGTTGTTGTTAAGGTTAGGTTAAGGTACTTAAGATCTAAACAGCGCTCGTTCCCATCGAGAAAACAACACTTCAAATTGAGCAACTTCCAATGCTTCGTAAATGCAAAGAGACACCAAAACAAAACAAAAGAGAGAAACGCAATGAAATAACAAAAAATAAATCCATGGTAATGGTTACAAAAATAAATGTACTTTAATAAGAACCAAATATATTCATACATCGAAACTTATAGAAATCATATCAAATAAATTCCACATGTCACTAAACAAAACTAATGCAAATACAGGTTGTATTAGGAGTGTGTCCTATAACTCAAATCGTCTAACTATAAATGCTCAAAACGAATCAACAAATTTCGAATTTCCCCCTTCCATCAAATTTCACTTGAAATTTAACCTTCTATATACATTCTACTCGAATTGGAACATTTTATTCGTATTATATAATGCTTTGTGCCTGTCCTTAATAATTTCTTAATTCTTGCAACAACAAATTCTATATACTATACGTTTAATATTTAAGTAAGTATTTATCTTGTTTGGGTCCTAAACACGTAAATGATGCAAGTCTAAATTCTAACCAACATTCACATAGAGAGGCGCATCTGAAGCGTTTTTTGTTTTGTTTTGTTTTGTATTAATCATATTTTCTAAGTTGCTTCTAAGCGTATTTAACATTTTACCATTTTATTTTGTTCTTTTGGAATTGTGGTTTTGTTTTTTTCTTTCTTTTCTGTTGTGTGCTTGCTAATTTTTATTTTTTTTTGTTGTATTTATTTATTTATTTTTCTTATGTGCTATGTGTGTGTGGCGCTTAGGTGTCTGCAGCACCATCTGCCGCTGTCGCCGCCGTCTCTGCCACCGCCTCTGTTGCTGTTTCCTCGCCGCCAGCTTCCGTTTCCGCTGCAGGCTTGTCCCCATCTTCCGCGGCATTTGCAGCGGCTTCCTCTGCAGCGGTGGCTAAAGCACGACTCTCGGCATCTGCAGAAAAAGCATAAATCGTTAATCGTGTGATTTCTTTAATATATTTGTATGTATGTATATGTATGTATGCTGAAGGGGCTATACTTAAACAATATAGAATTTGTTTGGGCATTTTTTTTGGCCATTTATTTAAATATCTATTTGGGTATTTTATTTAAATATTTATTTTTCAAGGTTAATTTAATTTTTTGGCGACAGCTAAATTTCTAATTGAGCTTCTTTTTACGTCCAAAAATTATTTCCATGATGCATTTCTGCTTATTTTTCTTTCCCCTCTTCTGTTGTTTTTTTTTCCTTGAATTTTTTCATTTGCTGCTTTCACATATTTTGCCTTGTTTTGTGGACAGTTTTAAATGAGATTTTCGTTTTGGCTTGGGGCTGTTTCTGGATGCCAAACTAGACTTGATGGCCGCTCTTTTGGCGCCGATCCAAGAGCTCTGCGTAAGAAGGTTTTAGCATTAATAACAAATGGCTGGCCGAGATCAAAGCGAAGGCCATTCAAACTCAATTAACGCAGCCTAATACGAGTACGAGTACGACTATGACTACAGAACACAGACTACAGAAAGTGGTAGGGTAGGTATAGGGCCAATGCGGGGGGGCGACCAGGCAGCCAATTAATATGATAATTAATAAAGCATTAGGCTGAAGCAGGGACAGGGTACTGGGACTCACCTTTGATGGCCTGCTCCTTCCAGATCTTTTTGTTTTCGGCGAGACATAGAAGCCAGGGCTTGGGTATTACAAACTTGGAAACAGTGCCGCCGGTCAGGCTCTTACGTGCCATGGGCGGGGCACTGCAATCGGAGGACTTCTCATCGTTGCGACGGTCGGAGGGCCGGGAGCCCAGCAGGCTGGGCTCTTGCTCCAGCAAAGGTAATGGCTTCGTCTTGAGAACGGGCGCAATCGGCGCCAGTATATACTCGAGCATATCGGACATGACGCCCATGCTGGGCTCCACAATAAAGTCAATGAAACAGATTTGCGACTCGGCGACGAGCGTATTGTTGCGATCGCAGAGCGGACTGAAGGGCAGACCGAGCTCCTTCTCGAGATCACCCTGGCGAAAGAATTCCTCCAGCAGCAGCATTGTCCAGCGCTGATGGACGCCCCACTGTTTGGCCGGGTGGGAGATATCACAGCAGTGCAGCACCAGGGACAGCACCTTCGACTTGTCAATGGTCGCCTCCTGCAGCGTCAGCAGATTGCGCATTGTCTTCATCTGCTGGAAGTGATTGGTCATGTCGGTGCCCAGCACCATATCAATCACCAAGGTGCGCATCTCGCGATACTCCTCGCGCGACAAATGCGACAAAATGTTGTACTCGTCCTCCCGCAACAGCCGGAAGCTGGCGCTCACATGATGATTCTCCAGCACCGCTCGGTCATTGTACATCAGCGCCGTCTCCGAGCCGGACATCACGTGAAAGTTGTTGGTGGTGCCCGTGTGCTCGTAGTCGTGCAGCAGGGCGGCCAGCAGCGAGGCGAATATCTCCAGATCCGTCAGCCAGTTCATCAGGCCCGTGTTGCACAGACAATAGTGGATCGTCTGCATCACATCCACGGCGTGCAAATTGTTGTGATAGGGATTGCGGTAGCGGCAGTAGCCCTCCTCCACGCGATGCAGAAAGGCCTCCAGCACACCGGGCGCTATCTTAAATTTGTGTATCACTCCGTAGCGATTCAACAGGTCGTAGGCCACATATTTGACAACCTGGCCGCTGGCCGCCTCCGTCAGCGCAAATACATCGAATGTCCAGTCGTCTAGGTTCTGTTGGCAACGCCAATAAAATACAATTAAATATTTTAATATATATATTCAGAGTAATAGAGAACGGAAGGTATATACATATGGTCATATGCATATATGGTCGATATTATTTTCCAAATTTATTGAGATTTAACTAATTTAAATCATTAAAACATAATTTAATTTATTTTGTTGTGAAAAATAAGCAAAAATTCACTTTTCAGAGGCTCTCTTTGAGGCCACTTATGTTTATAGAATAATTAAGCTTAAGAAATATCTCTTGTTGTCTCGTTGCACTTATTGTTTAGAAATCTCCGCCATTATAATAAAAGCCCAACTCACCTTAAGCAGCTTGACCACATCGGGCGGAAATTGCATCAGTGCCGAGCTGGATACGCGTCTATAAATGCGGTCCACAAATATGCCAGCCCGTATGGCATGGGCCACCGAACGGAACTTGGGCTTCTCGTCGCTCTTGCGGCGGCTGGTGGCCATCTGGCGCGTAAATGTGGAGGCCAACCACTCGCGTACCTCCGGTGGCACTGCATCCGGTTGCACCTCCGATAGTTCATCATCCTCGTCGGCCAGGCGCCTGCAGGTAGTTGGGGGGATTCATTAGGTTAGGGGGCGGGGAATGGGAAGAGAAAACAATCTATTAGTTTGGCTGCATTAAACAGATGCTTTCGCTAGATTAATTGTTAAACGAAATTACCAGAAACAATATCCAAGAAATGTACAAAAAATAAAACAAAAGAATTTCTATTGAATTTCTTTCATTAATTAAAAATACTTTAAAGCTAAGTTTTCAATATAATAAATTAAACATTAAAATAAATTTAATTTAAAGTACATTTTTTGTTGTGTGGTTTAAAAATTGGTACGGAAGAAAGGAAAAGTTATTTGTTTTATTTTTATTTTGGGGGTAGAAGAGAATTTTAGTGTGCGCAAAATAAAGTTTGTTTTTTGGGGTTAAAGAAATAGTTTTAGATACAGTTACACATACTAAAGTTAGTTAACAGCTAAACAAGTTAGTTGGGGTGGAGAGGTGGGGGAAAGTGGTAGGCGGATTGTGGTACAGTAAAACTTGCTACTTAGCAAAAAGCAGACAAAAGCAGGCAGAGTGTAGCGGTGGGTTTTTATGGGCATGGTGACTTGTAGGATTTTCTTAATTGCATGCCATGGCAAGTACACTATTCTGCATACGTATGGGTGCAAACATCTACGACACGTGAACAGCAACAACATTGAGAACAAAACGTGCCAGGAGACGACGACGACGGCGACGGCGATGACTGACTTCTACTTGCAAAGTCGTCAACTTTATTCTGTGAATTTTCCATGCCCAAGCCATCCTAATTGGCATTGGCAACAGTCCCTCATACAAGTATACATACAACCCCCCGCCCATACGCATAGTGAAATCCCTTCACTAATTGGTCCATTAGGTGCAGTGTCCTTCTGGTACCCCAATCAATGCATTTCTATGGCAACGCCGTGAGCAGATTTGTATTCCCACTCCCTCTTAAGTTTCAGACTCGTGTACACATATTTTTTTCTTTCTTTTTAAGTATTACATTATACCCTGGAAAAGAGCGTGGGGATGTTAGGGGATTTATGTGTATATTTTTATATAAATATAATTCCATTTGCAGAAAAATGAGTGCCTGTGCAAGGGTAAATCTTTTAGTGCCACTAATTGGCATTGTACGGAATTACAGGTATTCTGGAAAATAAGTTATGACATGTCACTTTGTTGCTAGATTGTCTATCAGACATTAGCAGTTATGGCGTACCGGCTATAATATAATATCTACAGTTAAAGTATCTCTCTCAAGTTACCATTTCCCTGAACCCATTCATTGCCCATAAGTATTACATCCTAACATAACTTACAGCTTAACTTTTGTAGCGTTTTCTAGGTTCTAATACTCGTGGTAATATGCATAAAATTTTAAGTAACGAATCACTGTAACCCATTCCAGGGCATTCTCTAGTCCAGAACTCACTCGCTCCCAGCCATTTCCATTGAATTTGCCTGCGTAGTAGATACGAGCATGATTCTTGGAAAAACATCTTTCTCTCTTCCATTACATGTTATTTTTTATCCGCGTATCCACAGAGCTGTAAAGCACTTAAGCGCTCTATAGAAACTGAAAAACAGGGCCAAGTAGTGGCAGTGCGAGTATGGCAGTGAGGGGGTAGCGTCGACGGACGGTCTGAAGCGCTTTTGACTTGAGTAAATTAGCGAAAAATTCAATTATGGCTAATTAGATAAAACTTTAGCGTTCTGGCAGGATCTAGGGCCACTAAGAGTATTGTTTCAGCTAAAAGCTTGTTTGATTTTGGCAGGATTACGCATTGACACGAGATTATATGAGTACTAGCACTGCCGCAGCGATTAATTTGGTGTTGAACCACAAAGGCACATCAAGTGGTTTGAAGTGTAGCCATCGCAGCCAATATTGTGGCTTTTTAGAGGTCTAATAATTATATGGCTTCTTCGTTTACCATTTTAATGTTTTAATTAAATACATTTGCAATATTTTGGTGGGATTCTTTTGGTTTTTTTCTGGTACTCCAAAGATTATATTGCAACGAATTCAGGGAGTATTCTGTTACAGGAATTGTGGCGAACATAACGTATGCTGCCTTTTAAGTTCGTAGCCTTGGAAATTTAAAGTATGTCCAGGTCAAAATTTCCAATTCAATTAAAAAGTTTGTCATTTCTTTTGGCGAAATCATGCTTAGAACTTTTTCTTCTACGGTCGGGGCAAAATGGAATTAGTAAAAGAATATTTTCGTGTCATAATTTTCTACGATTTCTTCGATCAACTTAGTTCAACTTTAGGCTATGAAGCACCATTTATTGCCACTACGATAATTTGGCAAAACGAATTCAGTAGTGTACGTCTGTCGCTGCAGAACAAGTCCCGTGAGGGTCATCCCAAACTGTTGTTGTACCAGAAAAAATGAATGCTCTGAGGAAATTTAAATTGAAATATCTCCATATGACATACCATGAGATAGAGGCATTTTTGGACATCAGTGGGGCTAAGATAATTTAATATGGCATAAACCGTTGGCAGTCAAACAAAATTTTCCTCGTGCATATACCATAACTCGACATTCGCTTTAAAAAAAGCTCGTTCTGAGTGCCGAAAAAACTGCGAAAATAGATTAAAAACTCTTCCAAATGGGGTTTCAGCTTCCCTCAGAATATTTTTATGAGCAATAAAAACATTTTCAATGTTCTTTGGTTGGTCCATCACTATTCAGCTACGGATTTAAAAGTCAGTCCTCGTATTTCAACTAAAAAATATTTTTTTTTATTTTTTTGGCACTTTCCTTTTGCACTTCCTAAACCAATAACTTCCTTGAACCATTAACCCTATCTGGCAGCCATTTTCCACACACAACACATCATTCTTGCATAACACCAACACAATTTTTCAAGTGAATTTATTTGTGTGCATTTCCTGCCAAAGGGCCAGGACTTTCGTCGTTGGTTGAATATTTCACAGCGTTAGAGTTTTTTTTGCTTTGTTCTACTCTACACGAGACCGTTGATTAATTGTTTTGGATTTACGGTATTTTGTATTGTAGAATTAAATTGTATTTAATACGTGTACCATTCATTTAGCATGGCATGCTCCGCTTCAGAGACAGACAACATAATGGGAAAGTTCTTTGTATGCTTTTTGATTTATTCTTAAATTTTTGATTTTTGATTTTAGAATTTAGCTGGATCGAACCTTTTCTTCTTATCCTGCGTCTCCTGGGCACGATACTGAATTATGAACTGTATCAGCTCGACGGTGATGACGCTTTGTCGGCTACTCTCACGCCGCAGACGACTCATGGCGCGCACGGCAACGACGACCGCGATGGTAATGACGGTTTGCCACCTGCTGAGACGCGTCTTTGATGGCTCGTCGCAGTCCCTTTCGATATCTGCCACAGATATAGCAACAACAACAAAACACCGTTACAACACCGCTGCTGGCCGCCCCTTTCACTGCCCCCGGCCTCAACATGGAATCCAACGGAAATTGACTTTGTGGCAATGTCGTGCCCGGTTGATTAATATTAACATTTTTCACTTGAAATTAATACATCACTCGAGCCACTTGGCTGGGTGTCGGATCCACCCACACACACCTTCTGCCACCTCCCGGTAATTAGCTGGCAAAATGCGCTTTTAATGATGAGACAACAGTCAAATATTTGTGCAGCACTTTTCTCAGCCGAAAAATTTGTGTTCCGTTTTTTTTCTTTATTCTTTTCCCGCGCGGTGGTTCGTCGCACGACGTTTTGTTTTTTTGGTGTACTTGGCCCGTTGCGAGTTAAATTTAAACTGAATTGCTCGTAGCGCCAGTAAATGGTTAGCAAAAATGGTTTTGCCAGAAGAAGCCACATTTCAGCTCCTCCATTTGCGTGCCCAGAGTCTCCCCGGAGAGAGTTCTTCCCCCCATGCCCAGCCCACACACAGCTCTCGATTGCGTGTACATGGCCGGGCGCACGCCAACTGCAAAACCAAAAAAAAAAAAATGAAACAACAGAATGGAAAACTTGGGGGTAAAACTGTGCTAGGTGCCCATATCAATTATGTCAGCACTAAGACATCGCCGAGTCATGCCAAGCCCACAGAACTATTATGTACCAAAAGAGCCAACACTGGGAGACAAATTTAGAGCCTGGGAGCTTTTGCCAGTTGGGGCCGGCAACATACCGATATGCAATTTTAGGAGGTTTGATGCAACGGCTGCAGCTTGGCCAAATATATTTTTATTTTTATAAAAGACGCCTGATTAAATTACCTATATAAATTGTCAAGTGCCGCCCGTATATGTTATCGCCACACCTGCGCATGTACCTGTGCGGGCTACGTGCGTGTCGTGTGCCTATATACCGTGCCGCCCTACTTTTCTGCGCTGCTTGTTATTTCCGTAAACGTATCCCTCCTATCGCTCCAGAATTATACACCTAAGCCGGTAATCATCCCGCGTCTCAATCGCAACAACAAAACTTCATACGATTTGGCAGCCATTTAGCAAAACAACAGTAAAAGCTTTTCATCAACCTTTATGCTGACCCTCTAAACCCATGTACCACCTGGAATTGTGCAACCGTGCACTCAGCCCGACTAGCGACAACAACTGTTTGTTACAGTACCCTGCTGGTCCGCTTGGTCGTGAATTGCATTTAACGCCAGGCCGAAGTGATACACAATTTTAACTGTCAGTTGGGTCATAACACAAAGTAATTTGACGCCAACGCCTTGATCCAGCAAAGCTGCGCGCCTTAGGCCACCCCACCCACTACGCCACAACATGTATGGCCCCCCCCTTGTTCGCCGCCTATTACTCCCCTATGTGCGCTGTCTATGTATAGTCGGCATGCCAACACTACGGGAAATCGCCCCCGCCCCCTGCCGGTTGTCCCCCGTCCGGTATCCCTAGAGTCCCGTTCGCTTTGTGTTCTGATCTGTTGGACTCTTTATTTGGACTTTAACCACGGCAACGGTCCGGCTCGCGAATTCTGATCAAAAACCCTACGACGTCTGTTTAAATGTCCACTTTCTCTACCGTACAC